TGTCATCTGTAAAATATATAAAAAATCCTGAGTTGTACTGTGTGGTACTATGGCTATGGAATTGTATGGCTTCATTCAATACTAATTGCTCCTTATTCGCTCAAACAAAATCCTTAACGTCATTGGAACCAACTTTATGTAACAATTAAATAATTAAAAAAAATTAATATTAATAAATATCGACATCATTAGTAATAATTACCACATTAAAAATATTAATAAATAATAAAAAATATCAAGTCTTTATAAGAGATTAAATGTTTAATTTAATAAATAATTTAATTTAATTTCAACCAGAAATGAAAGGAATTTCAATCCTATTTATCTCTCTTTGTTTCTTGTGTTTTTTTCTTTTTCGTAATATGTATTGGAATTGTGAGAGGAACAAAAAGCAATGAATAGAGAAGTTTGGCCCTTCTTATTATATAACGTTCATTCAATCTGCTGCATTTGTTGCAATCACGGTTTGTCAATAACTGTTAATAATAAATATTATCACTCTGTTGAGCTGTCGATTGGCTGTATATTGCAATGTATATGCACGTGAAAAATATATCATGTATGAGCTATTTCAATGCACATTGCGCTGCAATTGTAAAGTAAATATAATTCTCTGTAAGAATATAATATTGTTGTAAATATCTGTAGTCTGTGTAACACTGTATAGCATCAAATAAAATAACAAGTTATCCGGCTGCAGAAGTATCAGTACGAGGTGGGGTGGCCGATCCACCATCGTTTTTTAAACTCCCAATGTTCATTCGTTGACGCAGAGTTCCATCATTTCCTTTAATCTCCATAAGGATATCACGAGTTTTTGTCAAATAAATTCTCCTTTAAACATTTACAAAAAATCTACAAAAAGGGAAAAAATAATTTTTTTTCCTTCTTTTTTGAAAGATCAAGTACGGAGCTTTTTCCGTTTTTTCTATTCGCATGTTAAAATATTCATCGTAAAAGTTAAACTTTTACACTTTTTCCAACTTTAATTAAGAACAACAAAAAATTACATTAAACAAATTTCATTTACGAAATTCACTTGCAATTTAGGTATGTTTTAACATTTTGTGAAAATAATAATAAAAATAATTTTTTTTTAGTCATTCAACATATTTTTTCTGTAAAAATATAGATTGTACTGCATCTTCACCCAAGATTTTTACTAACTGAAAAGTAATGATTATATATTAAGTTTAAAAACTCTTTTAAAAAAACCGCCAACAATGATAAACTCTGATATCTTTGGTCTCTCGTTAATCACGTAACGAATCAATGAAACTGGAACTCTACCTCTAGGAATTGAACAGGCACGGGATCTTAATACGTAAGTTTACTCTCTCTATATACAAGAAACTTCAGCATGTGTCGCTGATTTAAAGAAAAAATAAAACCTTGAGGAACTCATTTTACAACAGAAAGAAAAAAGTTTTCTCCTATTTTTTCTTCCCCAAGGAATATCGCGTTACAAATTCGAGTCTGCAAATCAACTTTTTTCTTTCCTTATACCCTTTCAAAACAAAAAGGGATATTTGTTATAAATATTATCAGCCTTATTTTGCAAAAAAAGAAACGCTTTTTCTTTTTTGTCAAATCATCTCCCTATATCTATTTTCACAAATCGTGATCAAAGAAAATTGGAATTGTATTTTTTCTTAAAAAATACAAGTCTTTTCTTTGTCAATACGTTTCCTATTAAATCAATCGTTTTCTAAAATTAAAGAATAAATCTCGCCGTTGGCGAACTATTATCACAAAATGATACTGGGGTTTGTTTCTTTTTTTCACGAGAGAAATTAGGAGAAAAAAAATACTATTTTTCCTTTTCTTATACGAAAAACCTAAAGAATTCTAGTGAAATGTTGTGTTAAATTGTTGGAGAACACCAGCAACGAAATTTTTCGTATCACTGATTTGAGCGACTGATTCAATCGAGTAGCCATCATCGTCGACCTCTCCCTGAAAAGGTCGCGATTTACTCTCGACAATTTTACATGTGGTGCTGGTTGCACCATCGTCAGGAGGAAGCCTCGGAGGTTGACCTCCAAGGACTGACTTGTCAGTTTGTTGAGTCTGGGGCCCTCCACCTAGTGCTGCGCTTCCTCCTGATCCACCACTGCCATTGGGTCCTAATCCTCCTTGACCCTGACCACCCTGAACCTGTACTGGAGCCTGAGCTTGTCCCTGTGCCTGAGGGGGTTGTGCCTGCCGTTGCTGTTGTGCCTCGGCTTTAACGTGATGATAAATCTCCTCTTGGCGTTGACGATCGGCAACGCTGAGCTCGTGGAAGCTGACCAGATGTCGCTTGAGGTAGAGCTTGGTCTTGAACGGCTTGTTACAGAGAGGGCAAGTGACACTCTGAGGGTTGTGGATGAGGCGCATGTGCTGCCGCAGGTTGGACAAGTTACTGTACATGCGGTTGCACACAGGACAGGGGCGCGGGTCCAGCGAGTGCAGTTTACGCAGGTCAGCTGCAACACACACACAACTTGCTCTAACCGGTAGCAGCCCACATAGCACGTTTAACCACAGCATAGCACCGTTCATTCTCTCTCTCTCTCTCTCTCTTTTAATCACCCACCACAAGGACAGCAACAACCAGCAAAACGACTCTAGTAGCAATTACAGGATTACTGCACACTTTGTTATCTTGTTTTTCAAATTCTTTACTTTTGCCAGAAAGAAATTCCTCTTACCAGAAAGTTTCATTCTTGAAAATATAAATTTGTATTTTCGCTTTTTTATCAAGACAGCTGTAAATATGCAGAAACCCTGAATACCAAGGACCAGGGTGGCCAGAGGTTTATTTTTCTTTCAATATACCTGAACCAATTATTAATTCCCCTTAATTTTTTTCCAATTTTCTAACCGGATCGATTTTTTATGAATCTCATTTTTCCACGTTTCCAAAAGTATATTTTTTTAATTTTTCAATTTCGCTGAATAAATTCCATTAGTTTTTGGCAAAACATTTTTAAATTAGGTTTCTTTAACCTTTTCAAATTCCAATACAATTACTATTCAAATTATTCTGAAATTACTTTTTTCTAAATTTTTTCTATATTTCAAAAACTAGTAAAAAAACTAGTAGTAAAATTCACAAATAATAAAGAATTAAATTTTTTTCTTTTTTTTACGAATTTAACCTTTTCCTTCAAGAAACTGGCAGGATTTTTGACAATGATTTCTAAGTAACTTTTAGATTTTTAAGCTTTTTCTGGCCTGTGACCACCCTGCATAACATGGCTGTTTGTGCATTTTTGAACTTTTTGCATGATCTAAAGATTTTGCATTGAATTTCTAAAAAATTCTAATTTTTCTCTAATATACTCTAACTATGGCAGAATGTAACAGCGTTTAAATACTTTCCAACTAATTCAAAATGATATCTTTTAATTTTCAAAACAAAAAGCTTTAAAGTCATTTTTTGTAAGATCATTCATTAAAATGAATTTAAATTGTGAATACCGTTTTTTTATCTTTATATGAATTTCTAGTTCCTTTAATTTACAACCTACTTTTTATTAATTAATACAAATTATTCATTGGCATTAAACCAAATTAATTATTCAGATATTTACTTTATTATTAATATTCTTGAAAAACATTAAACAAAAAGTATAAAAATTAATTATTCTAATAAATCGAATAAAGTTTTTTTTAATATTATTAATTAAACTTAAATAATTCAATGTCGATATTTTAAAAAAATATATTTTTTTAATATTATTTATACTGTTACGTACTGACAAGTTAAGTATTTCCCAATAAAACATTTTGAAAGGGTGTTTTAATATCTCTAAAGGAACTTGAGGTGATTTTTGTGAAAAGTGAAATCTAGTAAACGAGCACTACAATATCTAAGTAATTATTAACAATCGGAAATCAAACTTACACGATAAAATGTTTCTTTAAATGAAAAAGTAATAATAATGCAAGGATCATCATCATAAAATAAAAATGAAATCCGCACGATATTCAAAACAAACTTTTTAAACAGATAGTAAATAAAATAGTTTTAAACGAAATTGCATAAAGTGCAATTTTGACAAACTTCTAATGAATGACTGGTGTGTATGAGTGTCGATAAAAACGAAACATGTCCACAATGCTAATGATATATTAAAGATCTTGTCTGTCTAAATTTAATTTCGATTTTATTTTAATTATCCTTTTTATTTTTTACCATCAATATTCATATAATTGTCAATTTAATATTCATTACAATCCTATCACAATAAGAGAGTATTAGATTTTTCGTTAAATTTGATATTAACAATTTTCCATGACAATCATAATTTTTATATTTTATCAACTAAAATTTCCACTTTGATAATGGACTAAACTAAATTCTCCAAAATTAATTTTTTAGACAAACTTGAAATGATGGAAGAGGGTTTTCCTTCAAGCATATAAAACAAAGGCAAAGTTAAGAACGTAAACAAAAAAGCGTTAAATGCAGATGAAGAGAGATAAAAAATGATTTGATGTTAAGTTTCGCTTAATTTTTAAGCGAGAGTTAATTCATTAGCATTGAGCGTGATGAACGAATGATTGTAGTTAATACAAAATGAAAAGAAGTAAATGATAAAGCCAAGGGACATGAAATTGAAAAAAATATAATATATGTATATATATATATATAGATTTATATATACGAATACCGTGGTTCATAAAAAATTGTTTAAAAGTTTTTTCTCGCGTTCTTAGTTTTACACGGCCGGTTATCGTTCATACACCACAGCTGATTAGCTGTAAACTGCACTCTGCGGACCAAAAAATGCCCGTTTCGATTCCTCCGAGTATCATATATTGTTCTCCTACCGCCTATCACAAGACCTACCGAGCTACACACGAGCTTACCATTTCAAACCGTCAAGATTCCTTCCTCCTTCCTTCATTCTACTCACATTTCTTACTTGTGATGTAATGGCTAGGTTGTTGCTGTTTGTAATGGTGCTCGCACTACCAACAATATTTTTATTGCAATACTTTTTACTCACCCTGCTGTTCCTGGTTTAACTCGCTGCTCCCGTGAGACGGTCCCGGCATTCCACCCTCAATTCCGCTCCCTAAAAATTATTCTTCGTTTCATATTTGAGCCACCATTTCACATGGAGACGTCTCTGATCAAACAGTTTAATTACCCTTTTACTGTTTTCGACGTCTGTACACACGTCAAATATATACATGTATATATTTAACGCGCTTCACACAATGAAGGGATTTAAGTTATAAATTGCTTGTAATTTAAAAAAAAAATGTTATTTCTTTCTCTACTTATGGAAAACTTTTGCATACCAAAGAATAATAATTAAGAAGTACCACCTGTCAGTTTTTCTTCAATTTACCTGAATAGGAAGTTGAATAGGATGGCAGAACTTCCATTCCGCCATCCAAACTGAGAAATCCTCCCGGTAAGGTGTTGATATCTGGTTTCGTAGAACATTCATCGTCACTTCCATATTCTGGTAATTCTATTTTTGGCTGGAATCGGAAACGCGAAAATAATATCGATTATCAGAATTGTCCTCAATTAAAATAATAAACAATTTAGGGTGTAAGGCTTTGTCTTTTTCTTTTACTATGTAAAATACCTCAACTACATCGACGTCTTTGTAACAGTCAAGTTGAACATGGGGTTCAATGGCAGGGCGAGAACGAGATCCGCTCGATGGTGGTGGTGGTGCTGCTGATGTTGTTGCTGCTGCTGCTGCTGCTGGTGGTGGTGATATAGGACTAGAATTTTGGGGTGAATCACTTCTTTTGCACAGCCTTTTCAGTGGTGGGGGACTCGAAGGTGATGGAGTTTTACTGCGCTCGTCATCAAAACTCGGCGATGTCAGGCCACGACCATTCGAAGTGTGTATATTGTTCGTCTTCGAAAACTGGAAACATTCCAAAATCTTATTCATCTCAGAAAATTTTCATTTTTCAACTTGCATTTCTTGGTCAAGGTCATGAAGAACTTTTTTTCTTCTCACGGCGTCTATTTCGAAATCAATTTTAGAAAAATTAAATATATACCTTTTCGTTGTTGTGCTGATTGCTTTGGGAGTCTGTGAGGCCACGGATTTGAAGAGATTCGGCAGTTCGCAGAAAGGTTGGCAATTCAGCTTGAGAAATATTCACTTCCCCAGCATACATAAACTCCAGGAGCGATTGCAAATGTTCGAATTCAACATCCCTCATGAATATTATCGGATGTTTACAAGGATTTGTCTGAAATCATTTAATATACGTCAAAAAATCATAAACTCCAAAAAAGTTAACGAAATGTAAATATAATATCTTAAATTACATAACTTGGCAAAAATAATTATCTTATAAAATTAGTTGTTCATAATTAATATGACAGAATTTAAAAAAGTATGTTGTTAAAAATCAGAAAAGTTTAAATAACAAGCAAAGAATAAGAAAAAACATCAAGAACTTGTAGTAAACAAAAAGTAATGAAATATTTAATAACTAATAAAAAGATAAATATTAAATAATTAAGAAACAACTTTAAAAAAAAATAAATAAAATTTAACAGGACCGACATATAGAAATCGAGACAAGTCAGCAAAAAAAAAAAAAAAAAAACTCGAAAAATCAAATTGCAAAAGACTCGACATTCAAAGATAAACATCTTTATAGATAAAATGAAAAAATGAATTTCAATTTTTCCATTAATCCCACAGACAAGAATTTGATAAGTTTTCAATAAATCATATTCAATCTGTCAATATTCTTCTCTTTTGAGCTACTCATCTACAAGAAGAGTCAAGTGCACGCTAAAAAGATAACAATTACATAACTCTATGTTTATGGTGACCCACATCTCAGAACTAATTATATATTACAAAGCAAATTCTGAATAATGTCTCAAAAAATGATTTAAAAACAAACCTATTTTCCATTTTTGCTCAAAATCAAGTCAAAATAAGACAATATAAAAATTTCTATATCAGAACAAAAATTCAACTTTTATTATAAAATAAAAAAAATGCAAAAATATTGAAAAGCACATTTGTTTTGAGAAATTTCAGGAAAAAATGAACGATGAATATTATTTTGATTATTGTCTGAGAGAAGGTGGTAAAGTAATCGAGGGAGGATGAAGATTGTGAGTGTATCGAAAAATAAATGCATGGCCGATGAAATGGAAGTATGGTGTCGAATCAAAAGAGATACATATAATATAATGTGTGTGTATGATAGAGAGAGGTAGTGTCTGGTATGTGAGAGAGAATGAGAGAAAGATATCAGAAAAAGTCCATTATAATGAAAAAGAAGGGTGGGGATCTTGATGTCAGGATGGAAAGGGTTAGACAGATGGTTTTCTAACCTTGAATAGCTCCTTGAAGTAAGGACTACAGGCTGAAAGTACGACCTTGTGTGCTTGTAATCTCCTGCCGTCACAGGCGAAGGTAACGTCGACAAAGTCCTCGTCATCGCGAAGCGCCTCAAACTGGCTCGTGATATTCGCCTGAAAATTGTTCCACCGCAAGCAGAACTGCTGCTGACTATCCGTCATTCTCTTTCACTCGACTCCCTTAACACCTAAGATCACACATGGGGAACTTAAAGTACCGTACAGCTAACTAAACTTATTTCTCTCATTACTGTAAAAATGTAAAATGTAAAAAGTGAATCGATGACTGAAGAGGAAACGTACGATATAAATAATGACAATCGATATCCAGGTTGCCAGCATTCACGGAGAAAAATTCTCTAGTCGTTGCAATTGTCAGAGACACTTTTCCCATAGTTGTCAAATCACAATTACAAAAATAATTTGTCGACAATCGAGAAAGGCACAAAAATAATATTATAATCGAGACGGTAACTAAAACAGAACATTTTTCCTTTGATTATAAACGATAGCAGACTATACCGGGAAGAGATAATTTGAGTCTAGATTCACGAACTTCCGGAAATGCTGCCAATTGCTCATGTGTCTGAATTAAATTTGACACTTATCTTAGCATTATTGTTTACATTAATTGTTCTGACAAAAATTAGCGATAGTTATTTTTATTAAAATGAGAAAATTGAGTTAAATTTATAAGACTGGTACGTTTTTTTTAAATACGAAATTAGTGAAAATCACTAGATTTGAAAAATTTATCGGTAATGTAGGAACTCGTAGTATCTGAGTCGCTTGTAAATTTGTAATTAATATTCTTATTTTGTTTGATTTTATTTTATAAAATTAAATAAAGATGTTGACAAAAATAAAATACACGAATCTATAAAAATATATTAATCTTTAATTGTGAAATAGTAAATGAAATATAAATTGAAGGATTTGAAATTCGCGCCAAGTCTAGAGTGACTCATTGCTAACGTCACGGAGTTGCGTCTGCTGTGAGCTAACTCGCGTTACAATGTCCGTGCATGTTGTTTGATTTTTCATTTTTCTCTTTGTATCTCCTTATATCTTTCAAACTCTCAATACAATCATAAAGTGATTCACTCGCGACATTTGCAATCTTCTTCTCCTCATACGTAATCAATCTCCAGCTAGCGGGATTTCCGTATTAAAAATGTGCAATTTGAAAATGATAAAGGCTAAGATGGCAGTTTTGTGACGTGAAGGAGAGACGGTGTGTGTGTTCGTCAACAAATAAAAATTTATCCTGCGCGAGGATGCGTAGCAAAACTATTTATAAGGTGAGTAAATAAACATTTCTATCAAAATTATCTTATCCATATTTTTAATATTAATGAAAAATAAAAATTTCACATAAATTCTCGACAAAAATCAATTGTAGGCTTTGCAAAACGATCGTCGACATTTAACCTAATTCGTAGGCCTCTGGGCCTCGCAAACACCCTAAGCTTACTGCAGAATTAAATCAATATTTTAAATTAGACCTTCGATAAAATTATTTCTCTTATTTCTTGAATTGTTGACTCGAAAAAAAAGCATCTTTCACGGTCGCTCTGCGGGCGAATGTCCTTTGCACTCTTTCGTGATTCATTGATTTATAAAAACTAATCTCGCGAATAAATTTGTATTCTATTTTACAATTCTTCAATTAAACTAATGTTCGATTTTCGTCAATTTTGTGTCTTCAAATTGATTTTGTCAATTCAGCTATGTCGAGAACGAAAATCAAACGAACTAACTGTGACCTTTTTCGATGTCGAAAATCAATTTTATAAAAATGAAAACATCATAAACTTTAGTAAAAAAGGATACTAAATAGAATTACTTTTGTTGATTTCATGTCTTAATTGTTGCTGATTAGGAAACAAAAGAATTTTGTTTTAATTCTTATTGATTATTGCAATTCTTTATGCAACTGTAACTTATCTTTGATTGACTTTAATTAATTATCATAAGAACTAATTTTCTATAAACAGGTTAAATTTATACTTTTAAGTTAGGAATAAATTTAAATTGTTTGTTATTTGACTGTTTATAATTGATGTAATTTGTTTAAAAAAAAGTTGAAAGTATTGTCATAACCTCAAAATTCGATTTTTGACAAAAAATTGTATTTAAATAATTTTTATGTAAATTATATTATTGTATAATTTATTTTATATTATATATTTACATAATCTAATTTACATATAATAATCGAAAAAATTCATCTGTAGTTCTTTAGTTCCTTTTGTGTATTTTCGTTTCCAATGCAACGCTTGCAATTAAAAATTATTTAATGAGAAATTATCAGTGTTTATTTATTTATTTTAGATAATTTTGCAAGTCTTTTTAGTGTGATTTGATGTGTGACTGAGTGAGGAAATGATACGACTGAAAGAAAATTGAAGGTTTTCTTAAATTTTTGCAGCTACTTGTCCTCACCTGTAACTGGTGATCGTTGTGGTTTCTGTCAAAGAAACCAGGACCTTGGTACCTAATACCCGACGGTGAGTCTGTTGACAACTAATTCAATACAGAAATCTTAAGTGCATATTTCTGATAATACCTTTTATCTCCCATGGAAACCAACGAAGAGATTACCAATTCAATGATCGATCACTGAAACATGCATTTAAATTTATTTTTTGTCTGCTTTCTTCATTACATTTTTTTAATTTTTATTCCAAAATTAAAAATTTTATTATAGGTGAGAAATTTCCTTTGCATATTTTGTTTTCGTCATTTTACGTTTTAATGAATTTTTCTTTTATTCAAAATGATATTTACTTTTTGAAATTTTATGTTTTCTTTTTAGTTTTAAAAGCTAAGCCTAATTTTAAGCATATTATTGATACTAAAAAATCTTGGTAAAAATTCTTTTTCTACATTTAATAACTGAAAGCTGTAAGTTTTTTTTTTTATGGAAATGGATTTTTTTTCGTTGAACTTTAAACACCCGTAGATAAATTTATAGCCCACGTAACCATAAGTCAAACATATTCTATTGATGGCGTAATACATGTCACTTGTCTTTGACTGCATTTATAACTTTATATTTTGAAGTACGTCCGGTCAAAGTACCTCATGCCAACTACATTGTTGCGCAACGAAAGCATATCTATCTATCTCTCTCTTTCTTTTTTTTACAAGGAGATTCTCCGAGACCTGTTAATCTCTTATCAAAACTAAATGGAAAAAACCCCGTTCGCTTATCTGAATTTTAAGCTTCAAAAGTTTCATTAACAAAAAAAATTTTGTATTTTGAAAAAATTCTTTTTCCATTTTTAGAAAATTTCAATTTGCAATTTATGAAAAAAATTGTTTTTCGCTTTAAGATCACAAGTATTAGAATATTGTACAGAAGAGAGATAAGTTTTGTGGTGGGTTACGAAAGAAAACGGGAATGCGAACACCTCGTTTTACTGAAAATCGAAGGAATTAGAGCCAATATAGGCTTCCTCACACCTGTTTTAATAGTAATTGAGCATTTTAGTCTCGTTGATTATGCAAGGTATATTCTTTGCAGCTTCTCGCCATTTATCTAACACGGACGTAGATATTCTGTGACATGATTCTTTAAAAACTATCATTCAGAATCCACACATTATATATAGGTACTAGAAACAATTAACTTTTAACCGTGCGGCATATGTTGAGAAATGAAGCCATATGACGATATCTGACTCAGTTCTATCTTTTCCAAAGTGACTTATTCAAACAAACTATGTTTCTTAACTTTATATTCCTTAAAAAATTTTTGTTTGTAGATAATTTTATTTTTTTACATTCTCATCATATGAGAAAGTATTATAATTTTTTAAATAATAAAAAATAATAATTTTTCTTTAAAAATACTCACAGTAAAGTTTCTCTCCATGAAACAATTTTGTTGTTCTTCTAAATTCTGAAGAGGAAGAATCCTTTTCCTTAATTTAACTCTTGTTCCATAGATCACAAAATCATGACCAGTTATGCGTCACCGCCCACGACTTGGGCAAGTTTCAATCGAGAAAACAACCCTCTGTTATTAGTTGATTTTCAACCTTCCGAGAGATGTAAAGTTCCTGATTTTTAAGAAATAAGATATAACAGTATAATTAAATGTTTCAATTCATATTTCGCAACATTTCACAATAATTTTTGTTTTGACATTTACGTAGCCCTCAATCTCTTAATTTTTAGGAACATTAACAATTTAAGAATTTTCAAAAAAGGGCATTAGACAATATTGTGAGTTTTAAAAAATATGTAACCCTTTATTATTCTATTTTTCATTGAAAAATTCTACTCGTTTTTATTTTTAAAAAAATGGTCAATAAAACAATTCACAAAAAATAGAAAGTTGATTTCAAATTTGAAAAAAATTTGTTAATATTTGTCAATGTTGATAAAATTGAAGTTAGGGAAAATTTTGGAGAAAATGAATGATTAATGATTATTTGTATTTTTTTTAAGGAAAGTGAGGCGATCTCTTTCGTCGCCAAAGCTGCGTCCAAGCTGGCCGCCGTGGAGGATGTGGGTCCGCAAAGACCCGAAACCTCGTTTGACACCTCCTTGAAAGTTTCGCCAACAGCCAAGGCGGCTTTACAATTATTAAAACGAAGAAGACCTTTTACCTCGACCTCCGCTACCACCCGAGACGCTGAGACCATTACAGGTAAGAAATCCTGTTTCGTTATTTATCACTAATTATTCATTTCTCTTTTTCTTTTAAAACAAAATACAAGTTTTGAATTTTTTCAACTCTCATCTTCTTTCATAATTATTCTTCAAATCCTTGACGAAAAAATTTTATTCTATTTAAAATAATATTATTAATTAATCATCAATAATTATTAATATATTTTTTAATTATCTAATAATAACTGATATATGAACAAATTTTTTAACAATTATTTCTATTAATTTACAAAAAAAATTTGTCATATTCAACATAATCAAATAATATATTATTATGTTTATTACCGTTTACTTATGTCTAGCAGATGTTCGGAATAATTTAAGTCTTATCTTCTTTGCTTTTTAAAAATTTATTGCATTTCTTCTAGTACTTAGTTAGAAATTATTTTAATTCTTTACGTTGAATTCAAATTAAAAAATCTCAGAGTTCATTTCTTTAAGTTATTTTATCGTCTTTTTTAATTTAATTCTTTAATTAATAATTATTTACTTTCTGAAATATAGAATAACATTTTTTCCCAATGTAAGTTTTGTTGAGAAGTTACGTAAATTGTCTGCGCATTGAACACTGAAAATAATATATACTAATAGGCAGTTATAAATAACAGAATAAAAAAATAATGATAATTGAACTACTTAACTGTGTAAAAAGAAAAAAAAATTGGAAACTAATTCGGAAAAGACATGTAAATTATTTATAATTGTAGTGAAAGTAAACGTATGTGCTATTTTTGCTAATGGAATTAGCACATAATATACAAGATTAGATTCTCAACCACAACTTTTTGAGTTCTGTGAGTCTTATGTGAACAAAGTTATACACATTACGTGTCACTCGGCAACTTAGAAAATTTACACGTGAACAATTTGTCATTCGACACATTGTACTTACGTGAAGCAGATGATCGACCGTCACAGAAAAATATAATCACTGAAAGTTTTTATGCAAGCAGCATTTCATTGTCTTCCGTTGACAGTTCGTAAAAAAAATCGTCAATGTTCACTTAAAACTAACAAACTTCACACCAGTTTCTTTTTAAAGATCCATTTTTGGATACCTAATTTAATTTCACGCATTGAAACTTAAATTCCTTTTGACTTTCTTTTGTATAAATTTTCAGGGACTTGGAAATTTTTTTTTTTTTTTTTATCGAAACGTTCTCTGAATTTTTAACAATTGAAGTTTTCAAAGTTTCACGGTGGTGTTCGCAGAGTCACTGAGATTTTATAGCAAGGCAAGATTTATAAAGAGTCGTGCATGTTACCTGCGCGAACTCATGGTGTTCCCCATTGGTCCGCGTCAAATGATGATTACTCTGAAGGATAATGCGTTAGTGCCCCGGTCTGATTTTCCACGACGTAGCGATGATCATCATCATTATGATCATGCTGATGATGATGATGATGATGATCATCATCATCATCATTAAAATCATCGTCATAATGGAAGTTCCCTGCTTTCTGCTATGCCAATCATAATAATCATTATCATCACCATCATCGTTACTATAACTGCAAACCATCATTTTTTTAGCATTATTATATACGTAGGTTTTATTTTCTGAAATTCTTTAACGATATAATGGAATTAGAAATTCGTTTTATTGTAGTTCTAAAAATTGCTTTTAATGAATAGGACATTATTCAAATTATTATGATTTGAAACAACAAACTTTGTCGTGAATATCAATTTTTTTCTAGTATGAGTAAAAATAAATTAAAAAAGGATTTTTCCAAAGTTTGAAATATTGTAAATTAAATTAATTAAAATTTTAGTATAAATGATTTATAAATTTTCAAAAAGTCGATTGGACCAGAAATAATGAGTGATCTTTGATTTTTTTTAATTAAGTCGTTATAAATTGTTTTGAGGTCAGGGTGAAAAGTCAAATAAAGAATCAAGAATCGCTAATGTTCTCTAATTATCAACAAAAGATATTTCTATCGTTAGGATTGGTCAGTGACAGAGATTAATTTTAAATATATATATGTATAGGTAACATTCTTCCTTGCACGCGTCTTCCTCGCGCAGTCGCTATTCGAATGGATTACATAACTTTTAACTTCTGTCATATATGATCCACAATATCTCCTATACGTATATATAAATATATAATCGGTCCCCAAAAGCTATTTCTCAATGCATTCACGTAAATCATTCATTCAGTATTTTTTAATACCAATATAAAATAATTTTACTATTAGCAGAAGAATTAAAAAAAATTTTCTTTTGTCTCTTTTAGTCAATTAAATAATTTTGAAAGTCTTAATGACTAAACTTTGGTCAATTGATTTTTAAACTTAAATTAGAGTTCCAATAACGAAATAACGCGTTAAAGGAGAATTAATTAATTTTCTTTTAATAATTAATTATTGTTCCATTTTTCTTTATTTAATTTTTTTTATTTCTTTTTGTTATCAAATTTTCGAATTAAATAAATAAATAAATTTTAATATGGATAAGTAATAGGTACATCCAATAATTAGAAGCAAAACTAAAAATAGTTAATGATGATTAGAATAATTAGACTATTTTAAAATAAAATGATAACAATTTTCTTCTCTGATGTCATGAAAAATAAAAAGGTAGTTATATAATGGTCAGTATAAGTGTCTTTGTACGTCTTTTTTATAGTTGTAATACATCAATGTTTGCCATGCATCATTATTTCTCGTAAGGTATAATTAAGTTGAATGAAAAACTTGTATCTTTTATTATACACTCTTTCTTACACTCTGTTTGTCAAAAATACTTTTTATAATTTATATTTCCCTTTTTTATTATTTCAAATTATTGACATCATTTTATTTTATTTATCAAAAATCTAATTTAAAAAATTATTTTACAAAAGCAAAAAAAAGTAAATTATTAATCTCGATAATTAAGAAACACTTTTTTTATAATAATTGTAATCTTTCATTATTTGATACAAATTTAATTTTCTCTAATATTCATTGGAAAAAATTAATTTCAATTGACTAAGAAGAGAACTATTATCGTTGATCCTAATAATTTATCATTAGGATTAAGAAATGAAAAAATGAAAGAAAGAGTAAATCCAACTTCATTCATCTTTCTTTGTCTTGGTAGTTATTTGTAAAATAATCCTCAATATATGAGTTTCAGACTGAAGGAACCAAATCTGTTCTTCGCGGAATATTAAGGGCCAGTAAATTGAAATTGGCTCTTATCCAAAGCAAACACGACAATGCCTTCTATTTTCTGCTATGCGGTAGCTACGTTTAGGCCGAGTTCAATCTCAGACTTGGAAGTCTTTCCTCGCACTTCGTTCGATAAACTCGGAACAGGCGCCGGTATTTCAGAATTCCACGTGACTCGAAAAACTTGTTTTTTTCTTTCAAATGAAAATTTTATTTTTTGAAAAACATAATATTTCTCTTTCTTTTTGTTTTTTACTTTTTGAGTCACACAATAAGATTTTCGGATATTGGAGAAAAAACTTAAGTGGAATAATTTTAAATTGAAAGTGACTTGAAAATATTTGTATATCGAGAATAATTTGAAGATTTTGTGAGACTTGATGAATAAGCTGGATATAAAGTTTATCCCTGTAGTTTTCCCTAGAAAGATATGTCCCTCGGCACGAGTCGAGTGGTGAAAAGGCCCAGAGGCCCGGCGAAGTATAAGGAATTTTTCGAAAAACGAGAAGCCATCCTTGGAAAGTGGCGTGATGGTATGAAATTTGTTAATTTAAATTGCTGTGAAGGATATGAATCAAAATTAAAACTTTAAATTCAAGTTAATGTACTCGTATAAAATTGGAACAAAATTCTTCAAAATTGAATTATTTCTAAATAAATTATAATCTTTTAATAATATTTTTAAAAATATTAGTTTAGTTGACTTTTGAATTGTTATGTTTTTTATTGTTGATAAAATCTTTCGTTAAATGTTATATGTCAAAGCGGAACAGAGTTAAAAACTTTCTGCACGAGATTTTGCCTGATGATTGCTTTATACTAAATTGATTTTTTTTCTTCTGTTTCGTGAGGAGAGTAGGTTTGAAAGTAATGTTAATAAGTTGCCGACCTGCAACCATTTTTTCCCTCCTGAGAGTTCGTTTACCTATGACGAAAAAGAAACAATTATTTAACCGATTTCCTCGCTCTATAACAATTGAGAACACTTTGAAAAGTACCGGGTGGATGTACCAGAGACAAAAATACTACTTCTATTTTGGTATTCATGCAATGTCATTGTGGAGTGGATAAAGCACTTATAGATGGATTCTATGTTTCCCAGTTGTTAAAGAATTCTATTTTTGGTGAAATCTAATTTTAAATATATTTCTATGATAAAAATAAAAATTAGGCCATTTTTTTATTGATTAAAACTTTGAATATTTAGATATGATATATTTCCATATTAGAAGATCAGCTAGAGAATGTTTTAGTTAACAAATCCACGTTAATTACTGTTTACAAACTACATTTATAAAAGTTATTTTGAGACCAACTTATTTAAGAATTTTTGTTTTATTAGTTACTTGACAGTTTTGTATTGAAAATCAATATCCAGAAAGAAATAGAGTGTAACAAAAAAAGAATTAACAATTTGCTGAAAAATTGTTTTTTTTAAATAGTTCTTTTACAATATTTATTTAGTTCTTTATTAGGATTCATTTTTAACATTGTTTCCATTGTCTTTTCTTATCAATAGAATGTTATTTGTTGTTTTCTATTTTGTTTCTTTTTCCTTATTATCGACTGGTTTTCATTTTAACCGACCTTGTAAGTAGATAGAAACGTAGTTCCCTGTCTGCATCGAATGTGGCAGCACAAGTTTGTTTCTTACTTTAAATAACAATTACTTTTATTATTATTATTATTATTATTTGTTTATCAATCTTATAATACATTTTTTTTAGTCCAAATAATAAAAAAGTAAATTATTAAAAATTCTACCGATAAAATTAAATTATATAATTACAACAATTGTTAATTTATTTTTAGTAATAAATTTTTTATCAGATTGAAAATAATTAACGTGAAACATTGTTTTATAATTGTTGCAGAGGTGTGCAGCGGAGGGGAATTACCAGAAGTAGAAATAATCAGTTTGCTAGAAGAACAAATACCGAGGTATCGTTTAAGAGCGGACGCACTTACCCAATTTCAAGGTGAATTATTTATTTTATTAATAATAATAATATTTCGTATATTTAATATTTTTATTTTAATGCCTAATATTTATTTAGAATATATTAATAAATTTTTGCCGTTTTCAGGTTACGAAAACGCTGATTGGTTTGTTCCGGCTCCTGCGTTACGATTAGAGGACGTGGATTTGAAATTATCACCGGAGCAAATCCGAGAAACACTTAATTACTTCAGTGAGTACTTTTCTATTTACTATAAACAAATCTCATCAATTTTTGATTTGTTTCGAAAAAATTACGGATTTTTTTTCTTTTGCTTATTCCAAATTCGTGACGTAGTACAAATGATATCTCATAAAACAGAATTAGATAGAAATTTTGAGGCAAAATTAACCCGAAAAACTTATTGTCCCTTTTTTGAGATAGAAAAAAATATTTTTTAACCAAGTTTTTTTTAATGAAATTATTTTTTTTCGAGAAATGAAAAACGATTTACTTAGAATGAATATTTTTTTATATTGGCTACTTGTTTATATTACACAATTATAATTAATTGATGAAATGAAAAGTAATCCAAGAAAGTGCACTGTCACTTAATCTAAAGGAAAGGAAACGCATCCCTTTTAGCGGAAGGCCATTTGTGGTTAATTTTTAATTTTATTTGATCCCATTGTTATTATTCTGCGAAATTACTTCTTCTTAAGGAATATCAATGTACGCAACTATAATCTTCTTCTTTTTTGCATTTACGATTAAGTGCATGCGAATCGCATTCCTTCTAAACAAGGTCGCTTATTTAACACTCGAACTCACTTTGTCCTCAAATGGAAATGTGTCTCTCATAATCGGAAGTTTTTTTGATCATCACTTTGGTTGCTTTTAACCTATTTTTTTCCTTTTCTTCCTTTTTTTATTCATTTTATTTTTTCTGAGATAAGGAAAATTCATTAGAAAGTAAAATTTTGTGGAATTTATTTCCCTTGTTCAGGAAAAAAATGACATTTTATTAAATTTCTTTTTTAGTTCTTGATGTTTTTCTAGAATCACTTTAAAGGGCATGATAATTGTAGGTGTGTTCACATAAGGCGCGGTCACAATCCCACGAATTTATTTATGATAAAAGAATTGTTGCGTGAACACGAACAAAAATGCAATATTCGCTTCAGTTTAAAAACACGATTTAGTTTAGTGTCGTTTTTTCTTTCTTGTTTTGTAATGAAATTTTCAAAATTTTACTATGGTTTTGAAATTTGGAGATTAAGAAAAAAAATTAGCCTTTTTAGGCCCTTAGAATTTTAATTACCATAAACAGTAGTTTTTTTTTCTTATTAATTAATTAATTAATTGATTTTACTTAATGATAAGTGACATCTCGAAAAGTCTCAAATAATATTAAAAATATAATGATAATTTAAAAATTAAATTCATATTATTATATGTTATATAAAAAAATAAATCATTGAAAATTAATATTCCAAAAGCATTTAACTCTTAATATTTCAATCTGTTTACGTTTTTAATTATCGAAGAATGTCATGTTCTTTAAAATAATCAATAAGTTTCATCTTTCTTTGATAATATAAAACAATAATTATTGTTTGAGTTTAATAAACTTCCATTTCATAATTGATCAAGAGACATGCTGATTTTTATAATAAATACCATTCTTCTTATTTTCACTTAAATTAATTATAATAAATTAATAACAGTGTGAATTTGTTAATATAATTTTTTTAGTTATTTATTTTCTTTATTTAAAAACTTGTTCATAATTATTATGAAATTAAACTAAAGAATTAATTTTTTAAAGTCTAACACTATTTAGTTCCTTTTATTTAAAGAACAATTATCGACCGACATTCCTTATGAAATTGGTTCAAGTGTAATTGCCTAGTTCTAATGTTAGTGTATGAAATGTCACATTTTTATGCATTTATTTTTCTTCTTCTTCTTCTTCTTCGTTTTTTCATTTTAAAAAAATTTAATTTTTTACGAAATTATTTTTAGTTTAATAATAAATTTGGGATATTTAAAACGTGTATGCATAAAAAAATTACTGAGATAAATACCAATCTCGTTACTTTACAATGAATAAATGTAAGGAAAACAGTTACAATTTTTCTAATAAATTAAAATGGAAAGTAATGAAAAAAATTATTTACAATAAAATGGTTTTTATGAATTGAAATGATCTCTTTAGCAAAAATATACGTGGAAAAAATATTAATCAAATTAATGATCTCAAATAATTGTAATGTGTCTACTTGAGTGTACTAAAAATGAATTAAAATAGAAAGCAGATATTTGTTTAAAATGCCATGCTTATCACGTTGGGGAAAAGAAATGTAAAATATGGACATCTTGAAATTATAAAAAAGTATTTAAAGTCTTTTTAATAATAATAATTCCAAATCTGTTTATGTAATTCAACGAAACGTGAACAATTAAATAGTTTATCTAGAGAAAGCATGATATATATAAAAACCAAACTGGAGTGTCTTAGAAATTATAGAAGTATTTATTTAATAGAATGAAATAATCAGGATTTATTCTTCGGAACAAGTGGGACAAGGTTGTTGATTCTGCAAACTGTTGGTTTTATTTGATTACAATTCGTTTGGCAGATTTTTTTTATATAATTCGATAATTAATAATAAATAGTATTTAGATTATTCCAAGTTCTTGTTATTTGGCAAGAAATTTTCATAAAAATTAAAAATATTCCTATTAAAATAAGGGGAAATTGGAAATTTAATGGGTCGAATTGTACTTGTACTAAAATCTTCCAAGAATGGTATATTGTAATTTAATTGAATTACTATAATACTATTTCGATATAGTTATTTATTCAGATGTGCAGTTATGTCGTAACAATCAAGTAAGGATACTGAAATTACTGTTATATTGTACCAGTAGTTGACATTTTGTCTGATTACGTATAACTTTTTATTCAAAGTTATGGTTTACAGTGGCCTTTCTACAATTTTTTTTTTTTTTTCATAATTCTTTATTTATATAATATATACAATAGAATTTATTTTTATTCTAACTAATAATGATGTCATATTCCATTAAATTTTACAAAACCTCGAAAATTATTTTGATGTAGGTTTTGTTTATGTTTTTTAAAAAACAATTCTTTTTATTATACCTTGTCAAATTATCTTTATTTATGTGATGACACAATAGCAAAATAATGCTCCGATAAAATTACATTATTTTCGAATTATTCTTTATAATCTCATCATCCATCAAATTATTAATTATTGATAAAATATTGTTTACTCTTGTTTTTCGTTATAGTTCTTCTTTTTCCTTAATTATTTCTTTGCTATTTGTAAATGACTCAAATCTTTTTGACAAGATTTTGAAAATGAAATTTTGAACAAAAACCAAATTACAATTATTTAAATTTTTATTATTATTATCATATCTCAAGCTACGGGTTTTACTCGAAAATAAATTGTCGTTGTTACGCATGATTCCACCAGCCATTCGTAGTGGCGCTACTTGTCGACGAGGAGGAAAAGTTCATACAAGAAAAGAGGGAGGGAGACCGGCTAGAAAATTGAACGGCAGTTACGTTCATGCCTTCGATCGTGACAATGTTGCCTCCGTGAACGTCATATTATAAATTGTCTTGCGATCACGTGCCAATGAGTGTGCAAGAATTTTCAAAAAGGAATTTCTATAAAAGTGCCTGTGAGTGATAAAAAAGAAAAAAAAATTCCCGTTATTTAAAAGCAGCGAAAGATAACAGAACTGAGATAACAAAGCTTTTAATAGCGAATCCATAACTGCTCCACACTACTGCATTCCTCTCATTTCTAACAGAATCCCCTGGACCCTTCTCATCTCTCTCTCTCTTTCTCCTCTCATCTTTTGTCACTCTGCCCTTGGTGGAAAAAGCGTTTATTGGTTATAGTATAGTTGAACAAACCCTCATATACATGAGACGCATTCTTGAATTTATCTCAGAAGCACTGAAAAATTGTTCTCAGCTCGCGTCCATTCGGAGTAGAAGTGTTAACATAACCTTACTCCAAAAAATATGGGATTGACAATCTATTTTTTCTCAGAGGGAAAGAGAATCTGTCACTGAAAAATGTTACAGATTTGAATAATATTTGTTTTTTGTTAAAATTGTTTTATTATAGCAGTTATATAATGAGAAGATCTTCTAATAATATTAATCTTATAATTTAGCATAATGATTGAAATGATCATGATTTAATATTACAGAATATACAATAACATTAGTCATGTAATTTAAAATTAAGGAATAATCAAGTTGGTAAACTCATAATTTCTTTTTTTTCTAATTTCTTATACATTGAAAAATATGTTATTTAATCAAAAAGGATTTGTAAAATGCATCAATGTAACATACTTTTTGTATCAATCAATAATTTTGCATACTTTTAGCAAAAATATTGTTGATTAAGTAGCATATCTTTTTCAGTGTAAAAATACAAACGGCTATTTTAAAATATGCTACATAAAGGAATTTATACAAAGTTAAGCCTTACAGTTGTGTTATACTTAAAATATTTTTGTCGAAATTTATCTATTTCTGCCTGGTGTAATTGATTTTACGGTCTAACTTTTGTGTGTAACTCTCTAGATTTCAATTTTAGAATCAACTTCTTCTAGTTATTTATACAAACACTCGTAAATTACATGATCTGTTTTTACAGATAATGTAAAATGGAGATTCTCTCATTTTACTAATTAGTTTTCGGTTTTGAGAAATTTAAAGATGAATAACAAATTTCTTCAAATGATTGTATTCGGATTTTTATATGTTTCAAATCATGTAACATTTTAATTATTGAATCTCAAAAGTAGGTGTTTTTTAAGATCTGAACAACGACAAATAGTTGATAGAATTTCGAAAATGTAATATATTTATTTTTAGTTAATGTAATATTCATGCAAAATCAAAGTGAGTAGATTCCACATAGGAATAAGAAGAAGAAGAATATTTATTTATGATGTCACGATTCCAGTTTTAGATTCTGAGAGAGTTTAGAGGAAGATATTTTTATTTATTTTGTGTGTGAGAATTTCAGTCGCACTGTTAAGTTAATTGTCCGTTTCAAATTGGAATCTTTTAACCTGTCTTGAATTATATATCGACAAGTTCGAAAGTTAACAATTATTAAAGCGTAGCGGATAATGTTTCGACGATTAGTTCATTAATACTCATCAATGAAGTGATTAGTTTCGTCTAGTTTGCCGTTAAGTGTAAAAGAAATTGTTCTATTAAATTTCAATTTATTCACTTTCCACCTTTTTCAATAATTTTATGTTTCTATTACTACTGACTCTATTGCTATTATTGTTAGTGTAGAATTTTATCGCTTTTAGCTTCATTTATTATTAAATATAATAATAATAATATGAAGCATTTACAAATTTTCAATGATTGGTTGAAAAGTATGAAATTTTTTATAGAAATGTAAAGAACTTAAATGTTTTTTTTTTAATAAAAATTATATGCATCGTTCGCGGAACATTGTCATGATAAGGATTTCTAGTTGCTTTTTCCGCATTACTGATTGGTTTATCGCGGGCTTTTATCCACATTTTTTTACAATGATATTGTAATTTGCTAGTTTCGTTATTAAAACAGCTTTTCTTTTCCTCTGCATATATGCAGAAACCGCTAATTCAATAAATGTGCTAACGTTAGTCTGATCGATCGGAAACTTTATTTCGGTCGTTAGGTCAACGACTCGAAGAAAGTCATGAAAGGTAATGATCTATGGCGCATCTGAAGAGATTCAGACGATTTATGCATAGCGGTTTGCATATTCTGTAGCAAAAGGAAACTTCAAGTTCATTACTCTATTTGTAGTCAGTTTCTTTGTTTTTTTTCTTATTTGACAAGCAATTTTTTTTACTATTCTTGATATTTTCTGAATTTTATTAATTTATCTTATCATAAATGTTTTTTTGAGAAAAATCTCACCATTTTATTTATAATAAATATGAGTTTAAATTTTTTATACCACTGATTAGATTTCATTCATTCAACTATGACAATTCTGGTTATGTAAAAGGAAGTAATACGAATTTTAATATTCTGTAAATTTTTATTTTCCCGCACATCAATTTTAATTAATTACTTTATACCGGTAAAGAATTAATCTAGCTTCATGATTGGGAGTAATAAATACAACATATAAGTATGTAATACTCCACTTGGCATGAGTAAAAATAGTATATCTTTCGCTCTAATAATCCTGAACAATTAAGTTATGTCTATGTATGTATATATATTTCTCGAGTTCTTTTTCTTTTAAATTGTTCTCATTATCGATTACGTTATACACGGACAAATCCCAAAAATAAATCCTGAAACGAATTCTAAGACACTTAAAACTAAATACATATAATAATTTCGTTTTTTAATTTTTGTTTTGAGAAAGCAAACACAAAGTTTTATCATTTTATGGTTTTCAGGTTTCTTTCTCTAAATAAAATTCAATTAACCTCTATCAGAAATTTTTAGATTTAGAGATTCTATAAAATTTCACTGTTATTATCATTTAGACATTGACAGTTATAAAATTTAATTCCGGTTTAAAAACATTTCCTTTAGTCGTTTTCTAGTTTGTCTTTTCGGTGTTTTATTCACCATTTCATTAATTTTATCTTGTTCAATTTAATTGTTTTTTATTACGGAAATGAATTTAATTTTTTGTCAATTTATTTTTTTATAAGCAATATATTGAGAGAAAAATGTATTTGTGTCTAACTATTCCTGCATCTCTTATAAATAATATCAATAGTTCAAAGTATGAAATGCCAAACTAGTAAAACATTTATACATCTGACATTTTATATTTTTTTAGCACTAATCGGTAAATGATTTAGAAAGTAAAATCGTAAATTGTTTTTGAATAGTTTATCTTAAAACAAGAAAGTTTCCTTTTATCATCTTTTTTTTATATTATTATTATTGTTTATAATGAATTTATTTGATATGGAATTAATTGCAGGTTTTAAAATTTGCATGATTTCTTTGCTATCTTACATTGTTAATTTAATTGTCTTTATTTTGCAATTAGTTTCAATCAGGCTGCTTCCTATTTTGCAAACCTGACCTAATTGGAAATGTCAAATTCGTTCTATATTTTATATTTAGAAAAATCGTTTGGTTATTTTTATTTTCGAAAATTATCAAATTAGATCTTTACGATCCAGTTAATAATTTGTAATAATTTAAAATATTTTTAAAAATCATTTAAAAACAAATTCTTTGTTCCATTGATTTTTTTTATTGAAATGAATATTGAAATTATAAAAAGCTCCGAAAATCGCATTCCATGTGCTAGAATTGACGCACTCGTTAACCCGACCTCCTAAGACAAGCTTTTTATCTCAGAATTCTGTTATCTGAAATAATGTCAAGACCTCTAATGGTCTACTTGAATGCTGCACCATTCAATTAATACCAAAAGCAGTTTTATTAATTCATCTTTATCCGCTTGTAGAAGAACAAAATAAAATAAAACTGGATTAATTCATCTTTCAATTGTTCTCCTATCGGGATCGAAAAAGCAAACAGGGAGAGAAAAAAGAAGAGCGAGCGAGACAAATACCATCACATCGATTGACCTTTTCATTTGTACCAGAATTCACAGAATCTTTTCCAAGCTGGTAAATTTTCATTTTGCCAAAAAAAAAAAAAAAAAAAAAAATTAGACAACAAACTCGGATTAGAAATAGAAGAAGAAAAAGAAGGCAATAAAAAATTTGGAAAACTAAAATTTTGTTTTAAAATTGAAACAGAGTTAGGAAGTATGTCATGACCAGCACCGACTCGACCTCATTTTGCACTAAAACTGACGAAAAGGATGATGATAGTCGCATCGATTCCTCGTCTTCAAGACCAACGAGACCGAGAAATTTTGGCTCCACTATTGCACTCGGAAACTCGACATTTGAGTCCCTTGCACTCGATGTATCGTTTTCGGGACTTGCGAGTGCCTCAACACCGAGAACACCCAATTTTGGAAACCGAACTTCCGAGGAGAGAGATTCAGAAATTTGGGAAGACATCGGAGTTGTTGAGTACTTGGAGAGGGGACTCAGTCCTGGCGATGAGAGTTCAGCTGAGGATCGAGAAGAAACCCTCCGACAAGTTTTGTCAGAAACGGATATTCACGAGGGAGATGGAGATATGTCAGATTTTTTATTTCACGTAGCACGAACGAAACATGGGAGAATTTACATTCGAGTTATTCGCACACTTCTCTTAAATCGAGGTAGAGTTTGCTACATACTAATCAATTTTACGATATTTCACAAAAAATTTCATTTTCTCTTTTATTTTAGTTTTTTAAATATTTTTTTCACTCTTTATTTAGGCTTCATTTTTTTCTGCCTAGAAATTTGTTCACTTGTCAAATTGTGACTCGCGAGACATCGATTAGATCTTATCTAAAACGTCTATGATAAGAATCTATTTCAATCCATTCTCAACGTAAAATATAGTACCATTTCATCTAGTATAGTGTTTATCGAACTGACTTGTGAGTAATACTTTTTGTATAGTAAAAATTGTTTCTGAAAATAATTTTCAAGTTGAAAATATATTTTTATATACTAGATAAAATATTAATGTTATAATATTAATAATTGTCATTAAATAGCAATTAATTAATTTAAAAAAATTAATCGTTAATTTATTAAAATGCATTTTAATAGCATTAAATTTTTTTCTGGCAGAATTTGCTTTTTGAATAAAACATTTTTTCACATTGAATAGATTCAAAGGAAAAGAGTAATAAGAGCGGTGCGATTGTTATCATCGTGAACCATGCGAATTTATATCTGGCTACCTCCAGTCAAAAGAGACCTTGTGTGAGAAGTCGACCTTTCTCTCTCGAGACGACAGCTTGAGCACTTATTCTATACTTTAACATATCTTTTTTCATTTTCTCACACAACACATGAGTTTCCACTTACAAAAATAGATACATATATATTATTATTGCGTTAAAGGCTCTAGTCTTGTTTTTTCCTTTCTTCTTTATACATATATTGTCTTCTTTTCATTTATCATTTCTTTTTATTGGTAATTCGTGTGAAAATTTCGCAGCTTATAATGAAAATAATTGAATTGACTCAAAAGGTCTAATTAACGGAAATTACAGTTAAATTGATCAAATCAGTCACTGGAATTCGTATTTAAAAAACTTAATATTCTGCTATTGTATATAAAACTGATGAAATTTTTTTACACCGAGAGAAATATTTTATCGGCGTTTATTGCAGACAAATAAAAATATATTTATCTCAGTGCCTAATAACTTTTTATTTAGAGCGCAAATAAAATTTATTTGAAACAAATTAAATATTTTCTTTGGATGTACTCAGAGCTAAATTTGTTTCAAATAAAATCTGAAACATTAGCAATTTAACTATAAGTAGTGAATGAAAATAAATTTTTTAATCTAAAAAAGTTTTTTGATAAAATATTATAATGGAATTCGGAATTACGTCACCATGGAAAATCGATAATAAGGATAAGAAATGGTTTATGGCAATGGTCAAGGTTGACACACGCATCTGTTGACGAAAACGGTGGAAAATATTTTTCCAACCCCTTTGCTAGTTGTGGTAAAAGGGGATTTTCCAGTGGCGCCGGTTGGCAACACTGGCTCTCATTCTTCCCCTGCTGCAAATATGGTGGATCGATTCCTCCTCGCGACTTACCTCCGTCCACCTCGCGCACATTTGTCGTGTTTTTATCTTAAAATCATGAAAATCCATCGAAAAGTGTTAGTGACACTCGAAAAAATGTAGAAATATAATTCGCGAATCAAAGTAAAATAAGAAAATTAATTTCATCTGTGAACGATTGTAACAAGAATAAGATTCAAACAAGTTCAAGTGTGTTCCCACAAAAAATGGGTGTTTTCCATTTTATAGATACTATATTTTACGTTGTACGAATTTTGATATTGGGGAGTTTCTTCATTTCTTTTCAAATTATCAACAATTTTTAATATGTTGTCGACTGTTTGATATTCTCTGTAGTTGGATTTCGGAAATGCGTATTTTTCTTTAAAAAATCACTGCGTCATAGTGTAAGATTTGATATGTTTGAATTATATATATTGAATGCACCTTGAAATCTTCAATCTTTGATTCTTTATTATGCAATGAAGCCCCAATCGAGGTACTCTCATTAAATGGAGATTTATACTTGAGGCATTTTTAAAATGATGTAATAAAAAAGTTATATAGTTGGTAGACTTTGTCATCTGTCTTCAGAATGTAACACGTGTTTCCATCAGAAACAAGATGTTGTTAATCAAAACTTTATGGGATGCTTTTCTTTCCAAAAAATTTTTATTTCAACTTTCGTTTTAATTTTTTCGCTTGCCTTGTGACTGCTTTTCTCAAATTTTAATAATTTTTTTCTATTTAAATTAAAATTTATAACTGATATGTAATTTTGAATTAATATTTATTTTCAAAATGGGCTTTATATTTTCTGAAATAACTTTAATAAATTCATTTGTTGACAATTTATTTTCTTCATCGGAAAAAATATAACATTTGAATATTATACTTTGACATGGAATCCGTTTACGCAATAATGAAACTCAAGTTATTTACTAACAAACATAATTAAAAAAATTTGAATCTCAATTTAAAAATTCAAAAAGTATGCTGCGTTTAAATTAATTTAATATTTTAGAAACTTGTGTGTCATTACGCAATAAGACGAAATTATTGCCTCTAGACTAAACAGTTTGATGGTCTCTTGAGTCGATGAAAGAAAAAGTCTCTTTATCGGCTTCGTCCTTGTCGTCTTTAATTTGTCATACCTTCTTTTCAATTTAAAAGAAGAAAAACTTGTGATTTACTTTTAATTTTAATCATCGTCGACGTAATATTCATAGAAAAGGCTTCCTTTTTTATGACATTGCATTCATTTATGTTAGGGTTTTATAAGGTTGAAGATCAATAATTACATATATGTATGTATATATACCAAGGGAAGTAATGTTTCAAACTATCGTGTGGGTTCGTTTACAATTGAAAACTAGAGTCTTCAGTTAGTTGAAAGGGTTAAATATAAAGAAGAAACTGACATCAGTGATACCTTTTTTAGATCCAGTTTCGTATCTAGAAATTTTCTTGAATAATTTTAACCAATGTAATTTTTATTTTTCCAAGTAATAATAAATAATGTGAAAATCTTGTTGATATACGTAGCAAGTGTATTCACCTTCAGTAAACTGAATTAGCAATGCTCCCCTGCCACACGGGAATTTGATATCGACATGCGTAGGTCATGCTCGTTACATTACCAAGTTGTTTAGTTACCGGTTCGAAAAACAGGCTTGTGTGTTGCATTTACGTGTGCAAGTCGCTCATTTTCTACTCACTCATCTTTTCTCATTATCTTCAATTTTCTTCTAATCTCTGAGAATTATGAGTAGCTCTTTTTGCTTCTGTCTCTTGAAAGCATTGTGGGAAAAAGAATAAATTGGAATTTTAAATACATCCTGGGATCATTGATTGTAATATCCAGTTATTTTTTCAGGCCTAGATAATAATAACGATCTTCATTAGCCTTTGTTTCTTTTAGATCACCTACTCTCAGAATGTTAATGTTTATTATGTATTCCATTAATTAAGACAAATTAAACACGCCCATTTAATGTGTGTCTTGGTAAATTGGAACGACCATTCTAATTGCAATATGAAAAATGAACTGAAAGATCATTTCTTTCATCGGAGTGTTGGAAAATTAAGAAAGTTATCGCGTTTAGTGATGGTCTCTCGAGACCCAAACAGTTTCGAATAAAGTTTAATATCCTGGAGGAGACAACATTTTCTGGGAGGTCCGAGGCAGAGGCCCCGGGACCGGAAAAGGGAACTGGCACTGACAATGGAAACGACGGTGACTTAGAACATCAGGGGGAGAGAAAAATTGACTTTGTTCAGGATGATGATGATCCTTACGAGTACGACGAGGAAATTCCAAAACATAATGAAAATGTACATCCTGGATTGTCATTACCACTAACGTCGGCGATTACTCCATTTTGCGAGACCTGCAGTGGACTAAGAAGTCCCCTTTTTCTTCTCACCTCGCCCGCTGATGGACCGTGTAGGCATTTCGATCAAATATTCTTATTTTATTGTTAATTAATAATTACAATATAACAAAAATTATTATAATGTATTTATTATGAAGAGCAAACTGTCGATTTCTCCTAGAAATTGTAATTCGCAATTTCTAAGACAATGTAAGGATTCTTTTTTCTTGAGAAACTAGATTAAGTTCCGGTGAAGAGTCCGTGAAATTATAAAATTGCAAATTTTCTTCCTGGCTCTTGAGTGTTTGAAGAAGTAAATAATGGTTTTCCTCTCGTATATTCATAAACGTGATCATTTCCCATATCACATATGGTTTTTCGCACTACCTCATTTTCGGTCACTCTCCATTTAAGTAAAAACGAGCTCGGACTACTTAATCAGTCAGGAAGAGAAAACCCGAACGATACTAATTATGCGCTGTCTTGAACATATTTCTATTTTTTTTTTCTTAACATTAATATCGATTTTCGATATTAAGACATTTTATGCGCATGTTTTTATATATACATATATAAAAATAATAACCGTGGGAAAGTGACAAGATTATTGTCGTGTGTCGGAAACTTGGTCACATATGTGTGGCAAGAAACTTGTATATATTAGAAACGGGAGAAAAAGTTTCTTAAAGCAATTTAAAACCTTTACATATTTAAGTGCAAAACTTTAATTGTAAATTAAATTTATTTTAATGTCAACTTTTATTTTTTAATAATACTTAAAATACTTTTAATGTATTTTTATCTTATATTATTCGTTTGGATGGAAAGAAAAATTAAATATATTAAATTTTGACCAATTTTCTGACCCTAAAATAGTTTCTATATTTAATTAATATTAGTGATAAAATGAACACATAAGGAGTTCTCATAATAAAACATCAATAAAACGGCCTTTCGCTTTACATAAGGTTAAAAACGTGCTTCTTTATTCTGAACAATAGGTTTCAAAGTACATTAAACTTTCGAGTTTAAATAAAAGTCTTGGACGTGCTAAAGTATGTGCATTGAACAATTTTTAAAATCTATTTCCTGTAAATTTTTGTTTTATATTCTGGGAGGTTTTTTTATTTATAATTGGTTATGATTATAAAAATCTCCTTATAAGATTATTATAATTTGTAATATTTTATTAGAGAATTAAAAATTTTCTATTGCGCTTTTATTTTTTATGAATGTTTTTCAAATGATTTAACGAGAGTAAACTTGATTATTTCCTGCAAGGTAATAAACAGCAGGTGTTATAAAAACCGCAAAAATATTATCTTTATGTTTTACATGTAATTGACAAATGTGCGGCCGCCCGTGTCGTCGTAATTCTTATATGAAACTTATTAAAAGTACAGTTTAAGCTATTGTATTTTATTTTTATCGACACGCATTCAATTTTATATAATAAGGATTCTCGCATCCGGTGCGACGAAAAAAAAATGACAAATTCAGTGAATTGTGAAACTAATGTAAAGTCATATATTTTATGTTATTGATAATATTTTTCAATTCAATGAAATGTTGGGATCTTGAATGTACTCAAATCCCAAGCGAGGTCAACATGACTTTAAAAAAAAAAAATTATTATTAGCTAGTTACTCTTGGACCTTAACTCAAACTTTTCTTTACACCTTCAGTTTAAACACTGCATTATTATTTATTCTAGCTTTTTAACCGCAGATGTTAAATGTGCTTTAAACTTTATTCGGCCGGTATTTTTTTCTTAGAATATACATATTTTTAGAACGTGAAAAATAACCATTCCTTCTATTCAAAAAATATTTAATTACATAATTAGTGGTGTTAACAGTGATTAATTATATAACAATTATTTTATTTTGATTGTTATTTACTAATTTTGTTAATCAATCAATTATTTATTAATTACTGGCAAAATAAATATTTCTGAATCAATATTATCGTTAATTACTAGCAAAAATAAACAACTTTTCAATCATGGTTAAAAATAAACAACTTTACAATTAAATTTTTGTTAACTGATTTGGAATAACTTAAAAATTGCACATTTATTTAAATAATAAAGAGGTTTTTATTTCAATTTAGTATAAATGATTTTTAAGGGCATAAGTTTACTTGAAGGTCACAAACCAAATCTATGCGACTAGAAAAGTTTTTGTTTGATCGATTATCACAATCTCCGAATCATATATATCTTTGAAATCATTTATAGCAATCGGAAATTTTTTTATCATTGGGGATTATAATTTTTTTAAAGATAATATTAATTGCGGTATTAATTTTTGAATTTTTTTTTGTGTTTCAGTCTTATGCAGCAACCGGGTGAGCCAAATGACCAAAACCTACAATGATATCGAGGCAGTAACAAGGCTTTTAGAAGAGGTAATAAATTTTTACAAATTTTTCAGTTTTAAAACAAGTTCACCTTTAGCATAAAATTAATCTCATGATCTTAAATTTAGTTTTATTTAATTTTTTATTTTTAAATTTGATTCGAAACAATTAAATGTTGATACTTAATTTAATGGTTATAATTTTCATGTTATCTTGAAATGATGATAATAATAATAATAATAATAATTTTCATTTAATTTTTCAGAAAGAGAAGGATTTAGAGTTGACAGCACGAATTGGCAAGGAGCTGTTGACGCACAATCAAAAACTCGAGAGTACTGTCAATGCTCTGGAGGCAGAACTGAAAGCAGCAAACGAGAAAATCACTCAATTGACACACGAGTCGTCAAAGAAAACCGAATTGATACAGATTTTGACTAACGATGTGGAAGAATCAGGTTCGGAAGCTGCGACACCCTCAGGATTACAGGGCATCAATTTGGATGTTATGCAACGTAAAATAACTTCACTCGAGGATGAAAATAAATCACTAAAAAGCGAATTCACAAAGCTCGTTAGTGAGGCTGATAATTGTGAGGAGCAGGAGGCGCGTCTCGTCAAAGATATCGCTAACCAACTTGGTAATTATTTATTCATTCACTAATAATTCGTAATTAGAAATATTAATATTTCAAATAAATAAATTCCTAAAGTTTTCTTTTTTTTTAAATAAATTTACTTATTTACAAATAAGATGATCAAGTTATTAGACGATAATCGAAATGATCAATTGGATGTTAATTGAATTAATGGAATGATTGTTTTTGCAGCATATGCAAATATGGAAGTAGACGGCATTGCTGAGGAGTTGGGCCGACAGAAGGAGGAAAACCGGCTTCAACATGAGCAAATAGTGAGCTTGACCGCCAAACTAGCAGAGACGGAATTACGACTCGCTCGATTGATAGCCGAGCACGATGAAATAGGAACGACTCTAGTTATAACGAGGGACAATCAGAACACACTAGCTAGTGAACTTGCCGAGTTTAAAGACCGTTATGCAGAGGTAAATTAGTTTTACTGCATTAATTAACACTTTAGATTGCTCGAATGGTTTTTTTTTCTTTATCTTGAAGCAAAAATTAATTCTTCTTCGTTTTCTGTTCTTCAGGTTGTTAATTTGTTGGCGGAAACGCAGGAGCAACTCAAGAAACAGAGGAAACGCTCAATGCCTACTGTTCGAGGTGGATCACTTTATCCGTCATTAGTGGCTCATCCTCAACCAGATTCCATTGCCTCGGAACTGGAGTCTTCACTTTATTCTGAATCAAGTTTGGATTCTGGAATAAGTGCAGATAGATTGTAAGTTTGATTTTTTTAAATTTATTAATTCAGTATATTTTAAATGAAGAATTTCAAAATAATTTTTAACAAAAAGAAATTCGTCAAATTTTTTTAATGAAATTAAAAAAAGTCAATGGCAAGAGTGAAATGAAATAATGTTTGTTTAATAGACCGACGTATAAGAAAGTATTCGAGACGGTTCGCAGTGCCTCAAGAACCTCGTTCAGTGCAACGAGTGAAAGTCAACAATTCCCACGACTTGGTTCCATGACAACTTCCACCCTTTCGAGTGGCTCTTCCGGGCCAAGAATGAGTCTTGGTCCTCAGATGCGAAGTCGAACGCGCGGAATGCCGGGTGCTTCGACTTTTCTCAGTTTGGATTCTACTGGACATAGTGATAGCGAGAGTTCTCTCATTACTGACTCTGAAGAATATCCGTAAGTTTAAATCGAATAATAATCCGTTAATAATAATCGTTTTTTCTCTATTTATTTATCTATTATTATTATTACATATTTGTATTTTATTTAACTTTATGTTTATTTAATTTTGAAATAAATTGACAATCGTGTCAAGAATTAATTTTAACCGTAGGGGACCGCAGCTTCCGGGAGTGCCTGGAGCTCCAGGAGCAGCCGATTTGGAGGCAGCACTTCGTCGTTTGACGCCCGCAGAAGTGATTGCGAGACGTGCGTGTCTCAGCACTGGAACTGGTTACACCTACGACTACGATGGCGGTGGAGCTCATTCACCACCGAATTTCCTTCCGTTTGGCTGTCGAACACCAGACAGCATTATGTCCACAGGAAGTAGCGGGAACTTGAGCGGCTTCAGTGGCAACAGTGCCGGTGGCTGGCGACTCCCTGAGAAGCTCCAAATCGTCAAACCCATGGAAGGCTCGCAGACTCTTCATCATTGGTCACAGTTAGCGACTCCCACGCTCGGTGGCTTGCTTGAGGAGCGTCCTGGTGTGAAGACGCGTGGCGGCCGACGATTAGAGGATCTGGGACTTGAGACGTACACGCTGACCGACGTCGAGGAAGACGAGGAATACGCGAATCCGGGGAAACTCTTCCAGGACACTGGATCCGTTTACACTTATACGAATAGCACAGTTCTCCATCCCGACGACCATACGAGTGTGACGGCTAGCGTTGTTGGTAGCCGAGTCGCCAGTGCGCCCGACAGTGCCGTCAATTCTGGCATGAACACGCCAAGGACTCTCAGTCGACGTAATTCCACGTCCACTTTCTCGACGACTCTCAGTCTCGCCAAGATGCTCAACGAGCGAGGAATCAAAGCCGTGACACCGTCGTGTGTCGCGACACCGAACGAGGACAAGAATTTCTCACCGACTGCCACACCTTGCAACAGTCCCGATGGTAGTCCAACACACTCCAGGTCAGCGTCGCCTTCGCCCACTAGCTCATCACTCTCATTCGGATTGTTCACCACTGGCGCTGAATTGCTGAAACGTACATTTGGCAGCGAATCCGCTACACCTATTCCAACCGCTTCGCAAGTTAAAAGGAAACGGGTGAAAAATCCCCTCTCTAGGTAAGTGAAAGAAATTTTATTATTTAATTGATGATTGGGAGAGAGAAGTTTTTAAAAAGAAATTCCATTTACTTTCAGGTCCGAGAAGAAGGCGTTGACAGGAATTCGACTCGTCGAGAAACTCGAAAGGATCGGCATTGACACGATAATGGCGGCTACAACATCTACAAGTATATCACCATTGGCTTTACAGGGTGCACTTTATACTAGGCGAAATATGGAGAGTCCCATGGCGCAATTGACCTTCCTGAAAAACTCCATGTCCTCCAGCTTCAGCCAAGAGAAATTGGATTCTTCTTCCTCGGCCTCTTCCATCAGTGAGAACTCAATCTCGTCACTGCCCAGTGACAGATCAAGGGGATTGAGCGACAGCGAAGGAAAATTGAGTTATGGATCGAGTCGACAACGACGTACGGGAAATCGATCAACGAGACCCGATCTCGGACAAGTGAAACCACCAGCTGCTCCTCCTGTTACCAAGGAGTCCGCTGCTCAGTCGGCACTTGGCACACTTAGCTCACTTCTTTTTGGTAGAAAAGGCGGTTTACTCTAAATCGACTCTTCTTCTTTTTTATTTATTTTTTTTTGTTTTGTTTTCTCAAAATCCTTATAGAGACGACGAGTGTTGAAGATTTTGATGAAAGGCTGTGAAAAAAGAGAGCACACTTCAGAATTTTATTTTTTAGCTGTAGTTACTAGAATCTAGTATTTAAATTTTTTCCTGATTGAATTTTCTTTTAGTAATTCAATTTTTTTTTTTTAATTAAATTATTCTAAATTCTAGTTGAAATTCCTGTCTAATCGTTTTTGACTAGTTGACAAATTTTTATACTTGAAAGTTTTTTGACTTGTTGAAAATTAGGTTTTTTTCTTCTAGTTCAAATTTTTTTTTACTAGTTAAAAATCTTTTTACAACTGGTTGAAAATATTTTTTAAACGGTTGATAATAGTTACTATTTGAATTATTTTTCACGAATAATTACATTCTTTTTTGGCTTGTTTTTTATCAGTTAAAATACTTTATTCATACCATAATTATGTATTATTAGGTATTTTATAAAACAATTGTAAAAAAAGGAAAAAGAGAGAAATGAAAGAGAGAGATAGAAGACGTAATTCTGAAGTGACTAAAATTATTGTTTATTGAAAATGAAAATATTAAACATATTTTACTGCCGTTAATGTATTGTAGGTATAGAGAAAATACTCACTTTGAATTCTGAAAAAATTAAATCATTTAAAATTTGATAAAATTTTTAGATTTAAATTTTCAAAAAATAAAATCCATTTAAAAATATTATTTTAAATTAAATAATTTTTTTCGTCTTCATTTTTTAAAAATTGTAATTGATTTTAATTATTAAACTGATTTCACTTTTCAGGATTCAAAGCAGTGAAAAGAAATTTTTTAGGGAAATGTTCAACACTCGCGTCTATGCCAACAGTATGCAGTTTATTTTTTACGTTTCTTGGCATATTTTCTTTTTTCCTTTTTTTTAATTCAAATGACTATGTGCTTTCAAGTATGCACACATTCATCAATAACTTACATCATTTATATACACTACTGTTTATTGTAGATCGATCGCTCTTTTTTGCGTCTTCAATTGAGATAGAAAATACTGCCGTATAAAGAAACAACTTAGGTAACTCATATTTCCGCTAAGATTGATTTTCACGGAAGCTGTTGTGTGAATATCGCCGTAAGTAGTAATGTGAGGTAACTAAATTTTTCCTTTGTACAGTGGAATAGGGAACGTCTGAAAATTACTCTTTTTAAATTTTTTTATTTTAGAATTATCAAATTTTCTAATTTGCATTTTTCTCCAAATTAAAAGAAAAACAACAATAAAAAATAGTGAGATTTCGAAAAAAATTTAAATATCGTTTAGAATTTTTAATTTCACGAATATTGAGAAAATATTCAAGAAATGGTTAACAATTTGTTGCCTAAATAAAAAAATAATTCTTTTTTCCTTTTAATGACAGTGGAACTGCTTTTTTAAAATCAAAATTTTCGGAATTTTCGAAAATTAATCTTTTCTTCCGAATGTTACTTGGATTATTTGGAAGTTTTTAAAGAAATTTTTAAGCTCTAACTAATTATTGAATAACAGTAAAAATAACCGAATTTTGATCTAAAATCCTTTTATTGTAGCAGTCAGTTCAAAAATGGAAAAACTTCTTTTACATTTCATGTAAAAGATAAATTTTTTTTTTTTTTAACTCGATTAATCAAGGATGGTGCAAATAACGTTAATGACGAAATAATTTAAAAATTCTTTCAATGTGATCCTGAATTGAAAGATTTAGCGCTAAAAGTTACAAAGCGACGTTTCTAGTCGCGTTCGGTGTCGAGCCTATTGATATTTATGATAATTCAAAATAATAGTAATAAATGAAAAAAAACAACAAAAAAGTCAAAAAAAGAAAAAAAAAAAAAAAAAAAAAGACACGAACGTTACCCTATTTTGTTAGTAGAAAAAAAGTAGAGTTCTAAGCTATAGATGGATGAAAAAATATATGTAATTACGAAAAGTAATTTGAGTAATTTAATTAATAATTGTACAGAGTTTGTATATATGGACTGGTTAGTTAATCTATTTATTTTGCTATTGATAGTTGAAAGAATTAATAGTTCGGAATGATTAACGGTTTACACATCCGCGACATTTCATGCACAAATGATTTAATTAAAATCAATTTTACAGAAGATCAAAATGTCAATTGATTTAATGGTGGATTTTTTAAAATGGAGACCGCTTCGTTTTTACTTGACTTTATATTTATAGATTGAATAATAATTATTTTATTCAGTAAATATTCTTATTTGCTATTGTCAATCTTTGTTGATTTTTTTGAAGATTGTGCATTTAGCCTGAGAATCGACGTCATTGTAAATAGTTTTTTTTTTAAAATCAGTTCTTGAATTTTTTGTTTTTAAAAGAAATGTACTTTTTTTATTTTCCAACCACTGTAATGTGCATGGACAGAGAGCGGTCCTGTATTTTAGCGCAGCCTTGTATATAATAGACGTACAAAAGAATAAAAAAAAAATAAATTGAAAATCACTCTTTGATATTATTTAACAATTATACTGTTTTCTACATTTCTTTTTTTCTGTTTATCTGATATTTATAATATTATTTAACTAATTTAAAAAATAATAATTTAATTTGTTTACTTTTTAAATTTGTAATTGTAGATAGCTAGATTTTAAGCATGGGACGACCACTCAGGCCATTTTTGAATTTGATTATAAAGTTCGTTTCCTGGACTAAGGATGTTGACCACCTGAAGAGCCCCCAATACCTTCACATCATTTCGCAAATATCCTTCCGATTTTCCGCATTTGATAAGTTTATGCGCTGCACTTATCATTTCGACGCTTGCTTTCTTATCTTAAAATATAGAAATAAGAAAAAAAGTTTAATAGAGAACAATTTGATATACATAAAAAAAAATTATACTTACTTTGAAAGTTTCCTATAAAGGCAACACCTAAACCTTTTTTATTGTAACCATATGTGTGTGCGCCTTCTTTGTACCAGCCAACCCCTTCGTATACGTTTCCATCTCCTCCAATTGCAAATCTTTAATAAATAATAAAGAAAATTTTTCTTTTTATATAATTTGAAAAGATGATTGAATAATTATTTTTTAAAAATAACATTTCTCCTAAAAAATTATTAATTTTACTCACGAATAGCCAATATCGTGCCAATCAAGACTATCCATGTGATAAGATTGAATATTTTGCATTTGACTAGAACAAGTGGATTGAGTTAGACATTCAGGAGTTACGGTATGATGAATTATGACATATTCAAGAGGAGGAATCAAATAATTATCAGATATTGACTTTTTTCCATTCCATTGTGTTCTCAAAATAATATTCGGACAAGAATCTTGATCTGAAAATTATATGAATAAAATTAATTTTATACAGATGTAAATATTATAAATTGTTATTCTACTCAATTCAAATAATATATATTTGCTAATATTTTTTTATTAATAAACATAAATAATAATATTAATAAACAAGAATTTATTATGAATAAACCAAATTTTATTAATTTACCTGCAATCGTTAGTGAAAAGATAACAGCAAATATAAATAATTGATGAAACATATTGGAACGTATAATAAAATGAATGTTTGTCGAGATACGTTTTAAAGTAACTGGAAGAAATTAATAAATAACTATCAAAGAACGTGATTCATTCAATGGCAAAGGTCATTATCGTTATTTTAATAACGAACGTTCAGCGCGTACGAAAAAAAAATTAAAAACTTTTAATGTAACGCTGCACGGGGATTCTCTGAGAGAGCTTGTAAATTTCCGGAATTTATCCAACAAAGAAAGATTATTATTTTCCCAATAACTTATATAAATTAAACAAACTTCGACTATCGCAATAACTAAGTGAAATCATCGCAATAACAAATATGTTTAAGTTCTAATAAACACTTAAATAATTTATAACAATTACGTTATAAAGAAACCGGAAGAGTAGGTGGAAAAACAAAGAGAGAATATAGAAAGGATGGCTGGTAATAATCAGAAATAAAATTATAACTCCTCGAAATATTTAAAATTATGAATCAAAGTATAAATTTTTATTTACACATTTTATTTGAAAATTAAATCACATGAAGGTTATAAAATTACAATTTTATATTTCTATTATTTTAAAAATGAATTTCATTTACTTACATATAAAATTTGTGCATTGTACTTTAGTGTAAAGTGATTATAAAAGCTAACATAGTTTTTAATATACATAACGAGGTTTACAATAATACAAAGTTGCATAATTTAAAAAAAAAAATTTTTAACTTTAAAAGTTTTTTTCCCTTATTTTTTCATTTCTAATAAAAAATTAGAAGATTAATAAGTCTTCAAAAATAGGCTGCTACCAATTTCCGCAAATGAATTACAGAAAGATAGTCGAAAATTTTCATGATTGCTAGAAGTGGTAGTTGAATTTTATGATTTCGTACAACGATATCAAACAAACATTGATAACTTGTTTCAATTAAATTTCTTCGCTCTTTTCCTTTTTCAACATGTATCTTTAAAAATGCAGAATACACTGAATATTTAGAGTACAAATCAATCAGTAAATTCTCGTTTCTTACGTAAATCGAAACTTGATTAATAGATTTTGTTAATATATCATAATAAGTCACATCGAATTTGGGATGAATTTTCGTATCTCGCATACTTAATATTTGCTTTGTACATTCTTTATAATAATTTTTAAAAGGAAGAATCCCTTTCTGAATTGATTCTAGCTCCATTTGTGTAAAATTTTGTGAAATCAATTTCATTAGAACTATGCGCGCAACTAATAATTCGCACAACTTTTTATTTCTAGCTCTAATATCCACATTTACCGAAAATGTTAATGCTAGATTAGTTAAATTTAAAAATTCAACAAGTATATTCATGTTCATAATATTATCAACTAAAGCTGTATAACTTTTAGAATCACTATCTACATCTAATATGTCCAAATTGGATATAATATTATAACAAAATGAAACACCGTACTCCAGAAGAACATCGACTAATTTTGGAGGAGTATCTAATTTCAGAAGAAAATCTACATCTCTCATTAAACAAAGTTCAAGATCTTTTTCTTGAATGAAATTAAGAAGACACCTAAGAATTTCCACCTGTCGTTCAGTCCTCATATTTAAATATTCCCTAAAACGCCATTTTTCTTCATTTAAAATATAATGTAACGGAGTTGATTGTAAATTTTTTCCCACAGGATCTGCTCCAGCATACAAAAGAAATTTGACTGCAGACAATTGTCCAAAAGCGATTGCAACATGCAATGGAGTTTCATTATTTTGTGTTGTTGAATTAATATCAGCACCCGATTTAATGAGAATTCTGATCAATTTCCAATGTCCGAACGCAGCCGCTACATGAATAGGATATCTCCCATTAAAATAACTTTCAACGGAATATCCAGCTTCCAGAAGGATTTTTAAAATTTGTTCGCTTCCTTTTTCAGCTGCAATGTGAATTATATCACTAAATGGAAAATCAGTTCCTTTAACTAAAAGTTCTCTAATAATTGACACGTGTCCTGCTTTTACCGCACAATGAAGGGGAGATTCCTTACACTCTACATTTATTTCGGCACCACATTCTATTAAATATTTCAATATATCTAAATAACCGTTAGCAGCTGAATAATGAAGAAGAGTTTTTGACGATGAATCTACATAGTTGATTCCTTCATTGCTATCAATAAGACACTTTAAAATGTCTAAACGATTATTTAAAATGCATTTACGTGCAAGGAAGTGACGATCCCGATTTGATAAATTTATTTTTGAATCATTCTCGACCAAGTATTTTACAATATTGACGTGACTGTTTTTAACAGCAAAATACAAAGGTGTTCGATTATTTCCTTTTCGAATTTCGATTTTCTGATAACCATGACTAAACAGTAACTTGACTATTTCCAAATGGCCATATTTTGCTGCATAAAGAAGCGGTGTTACAGTTTTGTACGTCAAGTTACTTTTGTCTCTATTGTTTAAAAGTTGTTTCACAACTTTTACATCATTTTTCTGAATTGCCGTAATCAGTGGAGATTTCACTCTTTTTTTTATTTTTTCAATTAAAGTTTTATAATCCTTGTCAATATTTACATCTTCAGGACTTTCTTTATCTCTGAAATTTGCACTATCCTCCTTTGGTATTGTGTATCGGGAAAATTTATAATTTTCCGGGTAAATATAATTTTCAATTGAAACATTCTTGATTAAATCAGAAATTAAAGAACATTTTCCGTATTGTGTGAAATTTAAAATTTCTGTAACATAAATGTAAAAACTTATATTGTACTTTGGGTGCTTTTTTTTGTTTTATTTCTTATTTCAATTGTTCAAGTGATTTTAAAACTTAATTAAACCATATTAAACAAGAATTAATAGTACTTAAAAATTCAGTGCATATGTACATACCTAAATTTTGTAGTAACATGTCGTCTTCTCTTTTTGAATCCATTTGTGAAATGCACTGAAATCTAGCAACTGTAACAAAATTTCATGTAGTTATAATAAAATTAAAAAGTTTTTTTAATTAAGGATTTTTCAAATAAAAAAATAATTATCTCAAATAATAATAATAATAACAACAACAACAACAACAATAGTTTTGTAATACATACCCAATTGATCAGCAACTGTAAATTCTTTGCCAATAAATTTCACCTTTAAACGCTATGCAGATAAAATAAGGTACACAATTTATCCTCCTTGATGAATACACGATCAACGCGTAAACTTAATTTAAAAAATGTTAAGTATTAATCAGCTGCTTTATTATATTGTTTTTAACTAATATTATTAACGACAAACTTTTTGTCATTAAAAACTTTACAATAGTGGTTAACCTAAAAATACACTTGAAATATTGATGATCTCAAATAATAAACTTTTTGATAGATATAGATAGAAAAAAAAAAATGTTATCTAATTATTTTTCATTAATAAATATGGAAAAATAATATACTAGGTTTGTATAATTTAGGAGAATTTAAGAAATATTGACAATTGATCACAAAACAAATATAAACATTTTTGGAGATGCAGGTTTTTATCTCAATAAGCCGAATTCACAATTGTCGAATGAGTCATTCGATAATTGTGAATTCGACTTTATAGTCATTACATTGCACACACACACACACCATTTTTATACATTCCCATCTCTGAAGTGTTCAGTTTTGTTGTCAACAGTCACCCATATTCTTTTTATTCACAGTATTTATTTAATGGTGTTTGGTAGATTTTGTGTATTCGTTTATGGCGCGAATTGTATTATTTTTCAGAATTAAGTGATTTAGCAGGTTTATTTTCATCATGCCTGCTGTATTAAAGCATATTGAAGTTGATAACTTTAAATCATACAAAGGAAAACTTATAATTGGTCCATTGAAACCATTTACAGCTGTGGTGGGACCAAATGGATCCGGTAGGTTATCTTGCAATTTTTGTTGTTTTTCCATCTAATAATCTAAAAAAAATAAAATATATATTCATGTCCCTATTTATTGTTCTGTTATAATGGGAAATTTTCAGGAAAATCTAATTTCATGGACGCTATCAGTTTTGTTATGGGTGAAAAAACAAGTAGTTTACGAGTAAAAAGATTTAGTGAACTTATTCATGGAGCATCTATTGGAATGCCAGTTGCTCGAAGGTAAGATTTTCTTAATATTTTATGTTAATAATTACTTTAATAGTTATAAAGTTATGTTTTACGTGTAACAAAATCTCGTGTGACAATTGTTAGTAATTCGAATAATTTATCTACTTTTAGTGCTTCAGTAACAGCTGTATTTTTACTTGAAGATGATAAAGAGAAAAGTTTTATGCGTTCAGTACAAGGCTCATCCTCAGAACATCGAATAAATGGAAGTGTAAGTTGTTAACTTTTTTTTACAATTACTTTTTCAAAATTTGTTATTTATTTAAATTTTGAAAATTCTTTTTTAGGTTGTAACGAGTCAAACATATTTATCCGAATTAGAGCAATTAGGAATAAATGTAAAGGCAAAAAATTTCCTTGTATTTCAAGGTGCTGTGGAATCAATTGCCATGAAAAATCCAAAAGAAAGAACCGCATTGTTTGAAGAGATTAGTAATTCCGGAGCTTTAAAAGCTGAATACGAACGGTAAATATTTAATTAGATTATATTTTTAAAAATTTTACTCTATGTATTTTATTGAAAAAAAAAATGTCTTTAAACAGTTTGCGAACAGAAATGTTGCGAGCTGAAGAAGAAACTCAATTTTCCTATCAAAAGAAAAAAGGAATCGCTGCTGAACGTAAAGAAGCAAAACTTGAAAAGGAGGAAGCTGAAAAATATCAACGATTAAAAGAAGAATACGTAATATTATTTTTGTTAACTTTTTTTTTTTAAAAAAAAGATTTATATTACATAATTTTTTTTTATATTTCAGGGAGAAAAACAAATAGAATTGCAACTTTTTCGTTTATTTCATAATGAAAAAGAAATTGAAAATTTGGAAGTAACACAAAAAAAGAAACAGCATGAGGTTGAAAAAATTGAAAAAAGACGCGAAAAAGCCGAGGAAGTATTGAAAGAAAAAAAGAAAGAAGCTGGCAAATTAGGAAGAGATCTTGCAAAAATTGAACAAGATATACGTGAAATGGAAGTTGAAATAACAAAGAAAAGACCAACTTTCATTAAAGCAAAAGAACGTGTTGCACATATGCAAAAAAAAGTTGAATCCGCTCGTAAATCTCTTGCTCAAGCAAGAATTGCTGATGAAGCGCATAAAAAAGATATAAATGAATTACAAGAAGAATTACGTCAAGTTGAAGAATCAAAGGCAGCTTATGAGGCAAGTATTGCCGGTCAATCACAATCACAAGGAAGAGATGTACAACTTGAAGATGAACAAGTACGTGAATATAATCGTTTAAAAGAAGAAGCTGGCAAACAATCGGCAAGATATCTTCAATTACTTGATTCAATTAATCGTGAACAAAAGTCAGATCAAGATAAACTCGATAATGAAGGCCGAAAGAAAACTGAAATTGAAAATAAAATCAAACAAAAGAGACATATGCGAGATGAGGCAATGAAACGTGTTGAAAAATTAGAGGAACACATAAAAACATCGGAGGCTGCTTTAGATGATCAAAAAAAATTAAGAACCGATTTGCAAAGTGATGTTGGAACATCAAAAGATAAAATTCAAAATCTTCAACGTGAATTGGAAAATATTTCCGAACAATTGGGTGATGCAAAAGTTGATAAACACGAAGTGTCAAGAACTAAAAAGAAAACTGAAATTGTTGAGAATTTTAAGAAACTATTTCCTGGAGTTGTAAGTTTTATACATTTAATTTTTACTTGTTTTCTACTTTTTTCGATAGCTTTGTGTACGAAAAATATTTTTCTATTTTAATTTATTTTTCAGTACGATCGAATGTATAATATGTGTGAGCCTATTCACAAACGATACAATGTTGCAATTACGAAAGTTCTTGGAAAATACATGGAGGCTATTGTTGTTGATACAGAGAAAACAGCTAGACAATGTATTCAATATTTGAAGGAGCAATATCTCGAGCCTGAAACTTTTTTACCTTTAGATTATATCCAGGCGAAACCTCTCAAAGAACGACTAAGGTAAATTAAAATAATAATTATTAAATAATTTATTATTATTATTATTAATAAAAATCATTTTTTTGTATTTTAAATTAAATACTTCAGTGATAATAATTTTTCTCATTTTTTTTATTAGAAACATTCAAGAACCAAGAAATGTTAAATTACTTTATGATGTGCTTCGTTTTTCGCCAAAAGATATTGATAGAGCTGTACTTTTTGCAACGAATAATGCTCTCGTTTGTGAAACTCCTGAAGATGCTAATAAAGTCGCTTATGAAATGGATAAGAAAGCACGCTACGATGTAAGTTATAAGAATTTACATTTTCCTTGGCTTTATTTTTTTTATTTTTTTTTTTATGTCAAGTAAATAGGAATATTTTGTATAACTAAAAAAAAGTATATATTTTAAATTTATTTTCAATAATTTGTTTAGTGTGTCGCTCTTGATGGTACGTTTTATCAAAAAGCCGGTATTATTTCTGGTGGTAGTTTAGATTTGGCAAAAAAAGCAAAAAGATGGGATGAAAAACAAATGGCACAACTCAAATCGCAAAAGGTAATTTTTGAAAACAATAATAGTAATAAATTTCTATTAATTTATAATTTTAATTTATTTTCAAAATAAAGTAATAATAATTTTTTAATTTTTCTCAACATTCAGGAACGATTAACAGAAGAATTAAGAGAGATGTTAAAGAAATCTCGCAAAGAATCTGAACTTAATACTGTAGAGTCTCAAATTCGTGGTTTGGAAACACGTTTGAAATACAACAAAAGCGATTTAGTAGCTACTGTAAGTTTTTTGAAATTAAATTTCTTTTCAAATCTTTTCTATTTTCAAAAAAAATTGAAATTGATTCAAGTAATTTTTACAGAAAAAACAAATTGCTGAATTGGAAACTGAATTGAATACTCTACAAAATGAGATGGATAAATTTGGAGTAAGTAAAAGTTATTGTTCTTTAAAACTGTTCTATTTTTCATTGTTATTTATTGTTATATTATGTATCAGCCAAAAATTGCCGAAATCGAGAATACAATGTCTGAAAGAGATCAGAAGATACAGAATGTGAAAGAAAAAATGAATAACGTTGAAGATGATGTATTTGCAAGTTTTTGTGAACAAATTGGCGTTTCAAATATTCGTCAATACGAGGAAAGAGAATTAAGGTGAATAAAAAAGAAAAAAAGAAAAAGAAAATTGAAATGAAAATGATTTTCTTTTATTTTTAGATCGCAACAAGAGAGAGCAAAAAAACGAATGGAATTTGAGAATCAATGTAATCGAATTTACAATCAATTGGATTTTGAAAAACAACGCGATACAGAAAGTAAATGTCAATGGAAATTTATTTTTCAAGGTTTTGTGTTTGTATGTGGAAAAAAACTGATGTGAATGTGTTTTAGGTAATGTATTGAGATGGGAACGTGCGGTGCAAGACGCTGAAGATAAATTAGAATCGGCAAGGCAGGCAGAATCAAATCAAAAGGCAGAAATAGAAAATGACGAGACTCAAATGGAAAAGTTGAAATCACAACGGACAGCTAAAAAAATGGAAGTTGATTCGAAAGATGAAGAAATTGGCAAATGTCGACGTGAAGTTGGTGGAATTACTAAAGACATTCAAGCTGCTCAAAAGCAACTTAATTCAGTGGAAAATAAAATTGAGCAAAGAAAAGCGGAAAGACACAATATTCTCATGAATTGCAAGGTATGTACTTTTTTCAAAAAAAAAAGTGGAATTTTCTATTCTATTTCAAAAATCCGAATTTTTTAATTTTATTTTGATCATTTACAGATGGAAGACATTGCAATTCCAATGCTTTATGGAAACATGGAAGATATTGCAGGTGAAACAATTAATGATACAAATAATGATGCGAATGTTAGTGCACAACAACAATATGAGCGGGAAAGTAGAATTACAATTGATTATTCATCGCTTTCGGATAATTTAAAAGACATTGATGAAGACGATTATAAGAAGACGTATGATAAATTAAATAAAGCAATCAATGACCTTCAAAATACAATTCAACGCATTCAAGCTCCAAATATGAAAGTAAATTATTATTATTATTATTATTATTATTATTGCTAGATAAATTATAATTTCGAATTCAATTTGTATTATCAATTAAAATTTTTATCTCTATATCTAATAATGAAACAAAAAAAAAATTAAAATTTGTTTATTAACATTAGAATATTTACATTTCAGGCGATTCAAAAGTTATATTTGGCTAAAGAGAAATTACATGAGACAAACGAAGAATTTGAGCAATCGCGTAAAAAGGCGAAAAAAGCAAAAACACAATTTGAAAAAGTTAAGAAAGAACGACATGATAGATTTATGGCATGTTTCGAACACGTGGCCAATGAAATTGATCCTATTTATAAGGTAATTTTTTTTTAGAATTTATTTTTCTAAGTAATTAATTAATGGAATTATAAAAATTTATTTATAATAATGGAATTAATTTTATTAGAGTTTGGCAAAAAATCAATCTGCTCAAGCATTCTTGGGTCCGGAAAATCCAGAAGAACCTTATTTGGATGGAATTAATTATAATTGTGTTGCACCTGGTAAACGATTTCAGCCAATGTCTAATCTTTCCGGAGGAGAAAAAACTGTTGCTGCATTGGCTTTACTATTTGCAATTCATAGGTGGAAAAAAAATCAATTTTAATATTTCTAGTTTTTATTCGTTTCTTTTTCTTTAGAATAAAATAAATATTTTTCAATTTTAGTTTTCAACCGGCACCTTTCTTTGTATTGGATGAAATTGATGCCGCTTTAGATAATACAAACATTGGAAAAGTTGCCAGCTATATAAGAGATAAAACAAGTTCACTTCAAACTATTGTTATTTCTCTAAAAGAAGAATTTTATTCTCACGCTGATGCTCTTATTGGTATATGTCCTGATGTAAGTTTTTATCGTATTCCAAAATGGTTTATAAAAAGCTTTTTTTCTTTTTTCAAAATATTGCACTTTCTAATATCTATTTTGCAGGTTGGAGAATGTCTAGAAAGCAAAGTATTGACACTAGATTTGACAACATTTCCTACACATATTTAATTTATATGTATTAATTTGACATTTATTTTGGAAATCCTATTTTAGTTTATGTTTACGATAAAAATGACTACGGTAAAGCGCATTTGTATGGTAAAAAAAGGATATATTAAACTTTTTTACATTTTTTTTTATTTGAAAAATTTTTGAGAATTTCTTTCAGATCTTTCTTTTCAAATAAAGGAGAAAAATAAAAATTCCATTAAAAATGATTTATTAATAATTAAAATAAACCTATTTTAAATTTCAATCGCTAAAGTAATTTAGTTTATTATATGCAATGCATATATTTACATATACTTGTAGGATGAGAAAAATTATTCTTCAGGCCAAGGTTTGCCGATACCTTGAGAAGCTCCCATTCTTGATGGATCTTGACTTGGATAATGAATGGGTGCTGTTCCAGGTGGGAATATTGGAGCGGCTGCTGCAGCAACAGCGGCAGCAGCTGCTATTTGCGGTGGGAACATAAATGGTGGAGCTACTGGTGGTGGTGGAATCATCATTGGTGGCAACATACTGGCAGTTGGTTGCAAATTGAAGAAATCACTTCCAATAGCACGTGGTGGCGGTGGTGGTAAAGCGCCTGGTAATCCAGGAACGGGTTCCAACATTTCTCGACTACCTTCAGCAACTGATATTGCCTGACGACCTTGAGAACGTCCCCATTTAATTGTCAGACGTCGACCACCCAATATTAATTTATTAAATGTTCTTTCGGCAGCAGCTTCAGCGGCATTTCTTTGCGTGTATTGAATAAAGGCACACTGTTGTCGCGGTACCATTGTCACCGATCTAATCTCTCCATATTGATAAAAGTGATCACGCAATTGTTTCTCAGTTAAGGCTTCGCCCAAATTACCAATATAGAGTGTTGTAATTGATTTATCCTCTGGTGCATCTAACTTTGGCATTGCTGCGGCACGTCGCATTAATTTATCAGCAACTGGATCATTAACACCATAATAACGATCTTTAATATTTTGATCAGCCAACGGATCATCAGGATCTGTTGGTTTCTCATGACGATATGGACATTCCTCGCCTCTTTTACATTCACCTTTCACATAAAAAGAACAAATGTGAGGTCGATTTCTTTTGTAATATGGACTTGTTCTTGCGAGTTTCATTAATAAATCACTGGCGGCAGCAGATTTTCCAACGGCACCTGCTGGCGATGTATGATCCATTTTACTGATTTCATTGTCAATATTTTGAACGTAATATTCTTTATTAACATTCGAACGTGGTAGATCATCTTTTATTTTTAAGGCCGCGTCACGCACTTGAATTGGTAGCCCATATTCTAAATCAAGTAAACATGTTTGACAAACATTCTTTAAACGGCTGCAAGTTTGACAGACTTCAGTTTTTTTGAAACGCATTCTTGCACCGGGACACCAACGAAATACTGTGAAAGGACGCATGCAAATCTTACATTCCTTGCCATATTTTTCTTTCATCTGAAAAAACAAAAGTATTTTAATGCTAATATTTAAAAAAATGAAATTTCAAGTTTATTTTTTTCAAAATATTGATTTGATTGTTATTCTTAGTATATTTATGTAAATCTCATAAAAAAACAATTAAGTATTGTTGCAATGTTAGTTAAAGAAATTTAAAAACAATTACTCACCATTCGAATGTATGGGTTGTCACCAAGGCATGTTTGGCATAAAATTGGAAACTCCTGAAAAGATAAAAAATCAGTACATTGAAAAATATTCAAATCAATAACAGTTAATATTATTAAAATATTACAAAATACTTACTGCATCTTCCCAATTTTGTCGATTATATGTATTTGAAGTTTTTGAAGTCGCCATTTCGTATTATTTTCTGACTTTCATTAACATGTCAATTTGGTTTTACATGTATGCGCGTGTAAGCATATACTACGTCATAGATGTGCGCGCGCAAAACCATTCTAGACGCTTAAAGGTACTCTCACACTACAAAAACAGTTGAAATTATATCTAAAATATTAGTAAATCTTTGTTTAGTTTTTATATATACACATTCTTCGTGACGAAAATATTGATTTGCATCTAGATCTAAACAATAAATACAACATAAATTATATTTGAAATCATCTCCAATGACGCAATGAATGTAACCTACCCCACCCTGTATATTTCTTACCTTCTAGTGTTTTTTGTAGTCTATGATACTAGTCAGTAGCCATCAGCAAGAGGCCGAAAAGGCCTCGTATTATATTTGTAAAAAGTTTTCATCAAATCATTCGCGATGACTACTTTTGAATCTAAAATGCCTGTACGCTTTGTAAAGCGAGTACAGTTTGGTATTCTTTCACCTGATGAAATAGTAAGTTTTTCACTTTAATCATAACAAAATCAATTAAATTTCACAACGCAACTGTACCGTCGCAGCCGGACTCCATTTTCCCTATATGACATCGTCACTACAATAATCATAAAAAAAATTGCAATGAATGAAAAACAGAAATTTTGAAAATTTGACTATTTGAATATAAATATTTAACCCAATTACAAAAATAATAGCGTTTGAATCATAAAAGTGGATTTTTTAAAAATAATTGCTATGTAATATTGAAAAATTGTTTAATGAGGTTAGGTATCCAGAATAATTGAAAGAAAACTTTTATTTTGATTAAATAATTCGCAAGAGGCAAATGCAAAATTTTTCGTTTTATGTAATTAAATCTGATTTTACGTGTTTTTTTTTTCTTTTTCAACAGCGACGTATGTCTGTCACTGATGGTGGAATTCGTTTTTCTGAAACTATGGAAGGTGGCCGACCTAAACAAGGTGGTCTCATGGATCCAAGACAAGGTGTAATTGATAGGAATTCACGTTGTCAAACATGTGCTGGCAATCTTACAGAATGTCCTGGACACTTTGGTCATATCACTTTAGCAAAACCAGTATTTCACATTGGTTTTATCACAAAATCTATGAAAATTCTCAGATGCGTGTGTTTTTTCTGTTCAAAACTTTTAGTTAGTCCAGTGAGTAATATTCAAATTGTATTTAAAAAACAAAATTAATTTTCTCTCATAATTGTTTTTTTTCAATATTTTTAGAATAATCCAAAAATCAAAGAAATCGTCATGAAGACAAAAGGACAGCCACGAAAACGTCTCACATTTGTCTACGATTTATGTAAAAGTAAAAATATTTGCGAAGGTGGCGACGAAATGGACATTAACAAAGATGGCACTGAAATTCCATTAGCCGATAGAAAACCAGGACACGGTGGTTGTGGTCGTTATCAACCGAGTTTAAGAAGATCTGGCCTCGACATAACAGCCGAATGGAAACAAATTAATGAAGACTCACAGGAGAAAAAAATGCCATTAACTGCCGAAAGAGCACATGAAATTCTCAAACAAATTACTGACGAAGAATCATTTATTCTTGGTATGGATCCAAGTTATGCGCGTCCCGATTGGATGATTGTCACTGTTCTTCCAGTGCCACCATTATCTGTACGACCAGCTGTCATTATGTACGGATCAGCGAGAAATCAAGATGATTTAACGCATAAATTGTCTGATATAATAAAAACAAATAATGAATTGATACGAAGCGAAGAGAAAGGTGCCGCAACACATATTGTTTCGGAAATAATAAAAATGTTACAATTTCACGTTGCTACATTGGTTGATAACGATTTGCCTGGATTGCCGCGTGCAATGCAAAAATCAGGAAAACCACTCAAGGCCGTCAAGGCACGACTCAAAGGCAAGGAAGGACGAATTCGTGGTAATTTGATGGGTAAACGTGTTGATTTCTCAGCGAGAACTGTCATCACACCGGATCCAAATCTTCGTATTGATCAAGTTGGTGTTCCACGAAGTATTGCACAAAATTTAACATTCCCCGAAATAGTGACACCGTTTAATATTGATAAAATGCAAGAACTTGTAAGAAGAGGTAATTCACAATATCCTGGTGCAAAATATATTGTGAGAGACAGCGGCGAACGAATAGATCTTCGATTTCATCCAAAGGCATCTGATCTTCATCTTCAGTGTGGTTATAAAGTTGAGAGGCACATTAGAGATGGTGATTTGGTTATATTTAATCGTCAGCCAACTCTTCATAAAATGAGTATGATGGGACATAGAGTGAAAGTTTTACCATGGAGTACATTTCGTATGAATCTCAGTTGTACATCTCCCTACAATGCCGATTTTGATGGCGATGAAATGAACTTACACGTTCCACAATCAATGGAAACAAGAGCTGAAGTGGAAAATATTCACGTTACACCACGTCAAATTATTACACCGCAAGCTAATAAACCAGTAATGGGTATTGTGCAGGACACATTGATGGCTGTGAGAAAAATGACAAAAAGAGATGTTTTCATTGAGAAGGAACAAATGATGAACATTTTAATGTTTTTGCCAAGTTGGGATGGAAAAATGCCTCAACCTTGTATACTTAAACCAAAACCTCTATGGACGGGAAAGCAAATATTTTCATTGATTATTCCAGGCAATGTGAATATGATACGTACCCACAGTACACATCCGGATGAAGAGGATGATGGACCATATAAATGGATTTCGCCTGGTGATACAAAAGTAATGGTCGAGCATGGTGAGCTTATCATGGGAATTTTGTGTAAAAAAACACTTGGTTCATCGGCTGGTTCACTTTTGCATATTTGCATGTTGGAATTAGGTCACGAGGTGTGTGGTCGATTTTACGGAAATATTCAAACTGTCATTAATAATTGGTTATTATTGGAGGGTCATTCAATTGGTATTGGTGATACAATTGCCGATCCTCAAACATATTTGGAAATTCAAAAAGCAATTAAGAAAGCAAAAGAGGATGTCATTGAAGTTATTCAAAAAGCTCACAATATGGAATTGGAACCAACGCCTGGTAATACATTGAGGCAAACTTTTGAAAATCAAGTAAACAGAATTTTAAATGACGCTCGTGATAAAACTGGAGGTTCAGCGAAAAAATCATTGACTGAATATAATAATTTAAAGGCTATGGTGGTCTCAGGATCAAAGGGTTCGAATATTAATATCTCGCAAGTTATTGCTTGTGTGGGACAACAGAACGTTGAGGGTAAGCGTATACCATTTGGTTTTCGTAAACGAACATTACCACATTTCATCAAGGACGATTATGGTCCCGAATCGAGAGGATTCGTCGAAAATTCGTATCTTGCTGGTCTTACGCCTTCGGAATTTTATTTTCACGCTATGGGAGGTCGTGAAGGTCTTATTGATACGGCTGTAAAAACTGCTGAAACTGGATACATTCAGCGTCGTTTAATCAAGGCTATGGAGTCCGTAATGGTGCATTATGATGGAACTGTGAGAAATTCTGTTGGACAGTTAATTCAGTTACGTTATGGAGAAGATGGTTTGTGTGGAGAAGCTGTTGAATTTCAAAATTTGCCTACAATTAAATTGAGTAACAAAGCATTTGAAAAGAAATTCAAATTCGATCCAACAAACGAAAGATATTTGCGTCGTATTTTCAATGAAGACATTGTTCGTGAGATGATGGGCTCCGGTGAAGTGATTTCTGAATTGGAAAAAGAATGGGAACAATTGAGTAGAGATCGATCGGCTTTGAGAGAAATTTTCCCCAGTGGAGAGTCAAAAGTTGTATTACCTTGTAATTTGCAACGTATGATTTGGAATGTACAGAAAATCTTTCATATTAATAAACGATCGCCAACTGATTTGAGTCCAATGAGAGTTATTCAAGGTGTGAAGGATCTTTTGGAAAAATGTGTAATTGTCGCTGGTGAGGATAGATTGAGTAAGCAAGCCAATGAAAATGCCACACTACTTTTCCAATGTCTCGTCAGATCAACTTTGTGTACCAAGTGTGTGTCTGAAGATTTCCGATTATCGAGTGAAGCATTCGAATGGTTAATTGGAGAAATTGAGGCAAGATTCCATCAGGCACAAGTGTCACCGGGTGAAATGGTGGGAGCATTGGCTGCACAATCTCTTGGTGAACCTGCCACTCAGATGACGTTGAACACTTTCCATTTTGCTGGTGTATCATCAAAGAACGTAACCCTGGGAGTGCCGCGTCTAAAGGAAATTATTAACATAAGTAAAAAGCCAAAAGCTCCTTCTCTAACTGTTTTTCTAACTGGAGCGGCAGCAAGAGATGCAGAGAAAGCAAAGAATGTTCTCTGTCGCTTGGAACATACAACATTGAAGAAAGTAACGGCAAACACGGCAATTTATTATGATCCTGATCCACAAAATACTGTCATTGCCGAGGATCAAGAATTCGTAAATGTCTATTACGAAATGCCCGACTTTGATCCAACAAGAATTTCACCTTGGCTACTTCGCATTGAATTGGATAGAAAGAGAATGACTGACAAGAAACTTAGCATGGAACAAATTGCTGAAAAAATCAATGCTGGATTTGGTGATGATTTAAATTGTATATTTAATGACGATAATGCCGAAAAATTGGTTCTACGAATTCGAATAATGAATAGTGATGACAACAAATTTCAAGACAACGACAAGGAGTCTATAGACAAAATGGAAGATGACACATTCCTGAGATGTATTGAATCGAACATGTTGAGTGAAATGACACTGCAAGGAGTTGAAGCAATTGGTAAAGTTTACATGCATTTGCCTCAGACAGACGCAAAGAAGAGGATTGTCGTGACTGATACTGGAGAGTTTAAGGCGATTGCTGAATGGTTACTGGAAACTGATGGTACAAGTTTGATGAAGGTATTGAGTGAGAGAGATGTAGATCCTGTGAGGACATTTAGTAACGATATTTGTGAGACTTTCGAAGTATTGGGTATTGAGGCTGTTAGAAAGTCAATAGAGAAGGAAATGAACACTGTATTGCAGTTTTATGGACTTTACGTCAATTATCGACATCTTGCGTTACTTTGTGACGTTATGACAGCCAAAGGTCATCTTATGGCCATCACTCGTCACGGTATTAACAGACAGGATACTGGAGCACTTATGAGGTAATGTTGATTATAAAAAAATCTTGAGACTTGCATCATTTAATTTGAGGTTTAATTTTTTAAAAAATTTTATTCCAGATGTTCCTTCGAAGAAACTGTGGATGTTTTGCTTGACGCTGCTTCTCACGCAGAAACCGATCCTATGAGAGGTGTTTCTGAAAATATTATTATGGGACAATTACCTCGAATTGGCACAGGTAATTTATTATAAATATATATATATATATATATATAATGAAATTTAATTTTTTCGAAATTGAATGTATGTCAATAAATGTAAATTATTTTCAGGTTGTTTTGATTTATTACTCGACGCTGAGAAGTGTAAATCAGGCATGGAAATTCCCATGGCTACTGGAGCAAATCTAATGGGCGGAACGGGAATGTTCTACGGAACTGCAGCGACATCGAGTATGAGTCCACGTATGACACCTTGGAATCAAATAGGAGCAACTCCAGCTTACGGTGCTTCCAGTATGTCACCTGGTAAGTTTTATCAGTTTTTATCATTCTTTCAATACTTCTTCAATACAAAAATAATAGAATCGAAAAAAATTCAACTAAATTGATAAATTAATATCTTTTCATTTCCTTCACAGCACTTGAAAGTGGAATGACACCTGGAGCTGGATGTTTCTCACCCTCCGGAGCGTCAGATGCATCAGGAATGTCGCCCGCTTATTCTGCTTATTCTCCACAACCTGGCAGTCCTGGTAGTCCAGGACCAAGTATGAGTCCGTATCCAATGTCGCCAGCGGGTGGTGCATCGCCAAGTTATTCACCAACATCGCCAGCATATTTGCCAACATCACCAAGTATGACACCGTCAAGTCCAAATTATTCTCCAACAAGTCCAAGTTATTCGCCAACAAGTCCAAATTATTCACCAACTAGTCCAAGTTATTCGCCGACGAGTCCAAGTTACTCGCCAACGAGTCCAAGTTATTCACCCACGAGTCCCAGTTACTCGCCCACAAGTCCAAGTTACTCGCCTACGAGTCCAAGTTATTCACCCACGAGTCCCAGTTACTCGCCCACAAGTCCAAGTTACTCGCCTACGAGTCCAAGTTACTCACCTACGAGTCCAAGTTACTCGCCGACGAGTCCAAGTTACTCACCAACGAGTCCCAGTTATTCACCGACAAGTCCAAGTTACTCGCCTACGAGTCCAAGTTATTCACCGACGAGTCCAAGTTACTCGCCAACAAGTCCGAGCTATTCGCCCAGTTCTCCAAATTACACACCTGCATCTCCATCATATTCTCCGACAAGTCCTTCTTATTCGCCAAGTTCACCACAATATTCACCGGCGAGTCCAAGCTACTCTCCAAGTAGTCCAAAATATTCACCAACAAGTCCCAGTTATTCACCCACATCACCATCATTCGCTGGTACATCACCACGCTATACACCAGCGAGTCCCACTTATTCACCGACAAGTCCATCATATTCTCCAACGAGTCCAAGTTATTCACCAAGTTCACCGCAACATACACCAGGTGGTAGTACAAGATATTCGCCCAGCAGTCCAAATTATTCGCCAACGTCACCAACTTATTCTCCATCGAGTCCTCAATACTCGCCATCAAGCACCAAATATTCTCCAACAAGTCCAACTTACACTCCCACAAGTCCCAGTTATTCACCAACGAGTCCAACTTATTCTCCTCCTGTCCCAGGATATTCACCCACAAGTCCTACTTATTCACCAGCATCGCCAGCTTACGAAACCGATGACTCTTAAAAACTTGTCATTTTTTCCATCTACTTATTCTACTTGGTTCGCGAATATTTTTTTTACATTTCTACAGAAAAAGAAAATTCCCTTTTTCTTCATATCTCGTTAATTCAATCGAATAATAGTGATGAAATTATGAACAATAAAAGTTTAATTTTATATTCTTCAAAAAGAAAAGGTAATTAATGAAAAACAGTATCAGTGTAGAAAAGTTATGGAAACAAATTTTGAGAAATGACTGCTGGTTAATTCACTGATTTTTTTTACAATCGAAAGAGAAGTTATAGGAAAATAATCACATCTGGTGAATTAATTCGCCTTTAGTTTTAAATATGAGTCAGATAGATTTTAACAATCAAGTTAAAATTTGACTTATGAAGGTAGAATTTCTGATATACTATAACTATAAAATTATATAAGTTATTCTTGTACAGTTTAATAAGAAATTTTCAAATACTTTTTTTAAAAAAAAAAACTAAATAAATTGTTTCTAAAAATGTAATTCTAACGTTTTAACGTTATGAAAATTATGGAAACAAATATTCAAGTCATTTAGAATTTGTATATTATTAAAATAAGACTGCTGATAAAAACATTGTTAGCGTATTTTTATAATATAACTCAAGTGGTAGAATTAATTATTATCTTTACATATCTTTTCTTTTCTTAATGTTTTAATATTAAAATACCTTATTCTAAGTAATATAAAAATGATTAGTATGTAATTTACTGCAAAAAAAACGTTTTAAATAAAAATAAAATTTTAAATTTAGTTTTTATTTTACTTTGCCTTAATCATTCAATAAATTATATTTAATTATATTTTTAAGAATTATTTTAAAAAAACAATTTTAATTATAAATTTAAATTATACATTAACAGTAGTTGTAATAAATTAATAATAATTAAATATAAATAATATATATTGATAAATATAATAAAAAAAAAAACATTTGTTATTGCAATTGGAAAATTAAATAATGAATTATTTGTGTGTATTATTAAAAATTTGCTATTTGTAATTAAGAATAAATCAATATTAGATTGAAAGTCTCGTGAATTGTGAATTGATAAATTATTATGAAATTTTAGTCACATGTTCTAGAAGATTCATTACACTTGACCATCCTCAACTCAGCCACCTTCAAATGTAAATCTTGACAAAGCTTTTCAAAGTCATTTTATCATTTGCGGCGCCAGAGATAAGGAACTGTTTTACAATATTTGAATTTCAAGATTGTCAATAATCATGGAACAGGTATTTATACACATCTCGTACACAAAACTCATCAGTAAGGTTTGATACTCATTGATTAGTGTTGTTTTTTTTTATACACTTTATTATTAGTCATTACTGAAAACAAGAACAATACGTATTTGTGATTAATAATCATTTTATTAAAAGTAACATTTAATATAAAATTAATATTTATTTGTTTTTGTAATTTTAATCAATTAAAATCATAATTTACTGATATTAATAATATTTCAATAAATTAAAATAATAATAATTTTTATTGTTTATTTAGACGCCGAAATCAAATTACTCAGTTTGAAGCATAAATATGACTGTCGGTCTGAGAAAAACGATGGGGTTAACGAATAAGATAACCCAAACTCTTCGTAAACGTTTAAATGAACGAAACGGTGAGTACAAAAAATTCTTTCCAATTTTCTTGCAATTATTTTTTTAAAAACATATATTTTTTCTTTAAAAGTAATTCACTTTTAAACATTTTGATAAAAAAAATTTTCAAAACAAAAAAGAAACAAATAGTATTTTTAAAGTTTAACAAATCTATATAAATTTTACATACTAATATAAATACATTATGTATATTGAAATAAAATTGATTAAAACATTTTTAAAACACATAATATACGTACTTTATCTTATACCGATTTATGAATTTATGGTGCAATTACGATAAAAGATAAATAAGTGTTGTTCAATCATAGTTTAAAGTCCATTATTTCTATAATTCTTATTTCCATATTATTAACATTAAATATGTAATTATACTTTCTCAAACAAAAATTGGTTACTACAGTTTTTTTAAATTCACATTTTATGTGTAGAAAACAAATTTCTCTTCTATACCTTAGATTTTAAAAGAAAAACTTTTCCTGTAGGAACTACAAAAGAATAATTATCTCATTGTTTACTCGTAAACAAGCTTATTGTAATAGATAAATTAAATGTCATTCGCACCAATTCATATCAGTAAACAAATAATCTATATTGTCTGATAAACAAGTGATAAATGTGGTACGATTTTTAATTGTTTTTCCCATTGTCTAATTTTTCAATCTAACAAAAAAAATTATTGAACACTATTGAAGTAATATTTGAAATTTTCGCATGTACATTTTTCTGTAAAAATAAATAAATAATTTAATTAAATAAATAATAATACTATAAATTAATTAATTATTATTGGTTTTAACAATATTGTCATTGTTGTATAGGGATTCTTATTTTCGAAATTAAAAAAAGGGAATTTAGGTTTTTCAAAATAAAGATGCAAAAGAAAATTGTGACTTCGTTTAAAAGCAATACATTTATAATTTATTAATAAGAAAAATAAATTAGATTTTTTTTCCTGAAAAGATCTATTCTCGTTACAAAAAAAAAAATACAAATATCCTTGTTGTTCTAGAAAATGAAAAAGAGAAAAATAGTAAACCAATTCTGATTAGATAAATGCAATTTTTTTTTGTTTTTTTTATTGCAGATAATAATATGAACACAAGAACATTACTTCCCACTGGACATGATGGTCCAGACGAGATTACAACTCGCATCAGTGTCAGAGCCTCAGTTTCTTTTTCTCACTCTCTAGACACAAAAAATGATTTCTCATTTGAAAAATCCATATATCGTTAATTAGAGTACCGGTCAATTGGAATTAACATTAAAATTCATGTTTTATAGTTAGTGACAGACTTTTGGCGGATATTGAAGAAAAAAAGAAGAGAATACTTTTGGATATCGATACAAATATGTTGAAAATTGGTTTTCTTGGTGGCGGAAAAATGGCACAGGCCTTAGCCAAAGGATTTATAAATGCTGGTAATTTTTTTGAATTTCTATTTTAATAATAAAAAAACTTATATTCAAAATAATTTCGATGGTGACTTTCATATAATAAAGAAAACATTGTTATATTTACTTAGAGAAAAATTAAAATGTCTTATTAATATTAAATATTTTTTCCTTCCATTATTTGGTATTAGAATGTCTTAATTATTCTGTTTCAGTTTTTTTTTTTATAAAGAAAAATATATTTATGACTTTCAGGTCTCAGTAAAGGAGAGAACATAATTGCGAGTTGTCTTCCAAGTGACTCAGGAAGCATTGAAGCATTTCAGGTTTGATTTTTTTAATACAAATTTTACAAGACTTTTTATTAATTACAAAAATTTTTTTATAATAATTCATAATAATTTGAATTAAAAGTAAATTAAAATAAAAATTTCGTGTAATAATAATAATAAAATCTATATTTAAAATAAAATTATATAATAATTCAAGTGAACAGTAAATAAATTAAATAATGATTAATATCACGACATGATTATTTTTGGGTCAACTTTGATTTTTTACTGTATAGATCACATAAGTATTGAGAGATAAGAAATTACTTGATTCCAAGGTATTTACAATCTACGGAAAATTTCCTAAAGTGATTAGGAAAAAAAATGTAGATCCATGAAAATTAGATTTAAAAAGTTTCTAAATTTTTCTTTTTTAAATTTAATTTGTATAATTATGTTTTCTTCATAGGAATTGGGATCTAGTACAGTATTTTCAAATAGTTCTGTAGCTGTTCATGGAGATGTTTTAATTTTATCAGTAAAACCTCAAGTGATTCCTAAAATTTTGCCCGAATTAAAATCAAATAAAAAATTAGTATTATCAATAGCAATGGGCATCAGTTTGAAAACATTGGAAAAGGTAAATTTGAATATTTGTTTTTGTATTTATAAATTATATAAATTTATTTCATTAATTAAATTGGCACACTTTTTTTCGCCAGGGTCTACCCAAAGGAACACCAGTTATCAGGGTAATGCCGAATACGCCAGCTTTAGTAGGATGTGGGGCCACTGTTTTTTCCCGAGGAAGCAATGCAAGCGAAAAAGATGCTCAATTAACTGAAAAATTATTTTCTGCTGTTGGTTTTTGCGAAGAGGTTCCAGAAAATATGATTGATCCTGTTACTGCATTAGCTGGATCTGGACCAGCATATGTAAGTGCTATTAAGAAACAAGATTCCTTTTTTTTAATGATAAACTCAAAAAATATACAGAAATTTTATAAATATAATTTTTTATTGTTAAAATTGTAGAATTTAAAATGAAATTAACATAATTTTATTTCATTTTATAGTATAACTTTAATTAATTATTATTTTCATAACTCTAACTATTATTTTAATTAATTAAAAAAGAAATTATTAAAAATAAATGAAATGTTTGATTGCAAAAATTTCATTCATTATTTAATTTTTTAGATTTACATGGTGATTGAAGCTCTCGCCGATGGGGCAGTGAAAATGGGCATGATGAGGCCCCTTGCTTACAAATTGGCGGCCCAAACTGTTCTTGGGGCTGGAACAATGGTACGTGAAACAAATACTCATCCGGGTCAACTTAAAGATGATGTCACATCTCCAGCAGGTATTGAAAAAATGTTCTCTATCTTAAAAGAAAGTGTTATTTCCTCTTAGTGTTCATTAATCTTAATTAACTTTAATTAAAGCGCAAATTCATTTGTTGCCTTTGTAGGATCTACAATAACAGCTGTTCATTATCTCGAGAAACATGGATTAAGATCTGCATTAATTGGAGCAATTGAAGCTGCCACATTACGTTGCCGAGAAGTAAGTTCACAAGCAGAAGTCAACAAAAGTTAATTTGAAATTTTATTTTAATTTTATCTATAAATATTAATTAATCAACATGTAAATATGTACAGTAACTAATAATAGTAAATAATTATTTAATTCATAATTTTGTTAAATTTCGAATTATTAGGAATTTTGAAAAAAAATTGAATTTTTACTTCTTTAATTAGTTGAACTAGAAAATTCAAAATTGCATTATTTAAATAAGTGATGATAAATTTATATCTAAGACGTATTTACGCTGTAAACTTATTTAGAGATTTAGTTTCGAAACAAAAAAGTGTAATGTAGTGGTAAACATACACAAAGCAATTGTAAATAATAATGGCTCACGACTTTTAATCATCACTTATGATAACGTAAGTGGAAAATTTTCTACAACGAGAAATTATTTTATAAATACTTTTTTTTCTATATTTATATTTTTCATATTTTATCATCAAAATTATCGTGAATGGTAATAAAACTATTTTTTTAAATACGTTACAATTAAAATTACAAACTTTTAATACAGTAAAGTTAGAATTAAATTAATCAAGTTTGCAAAGTTTAATAAATATAAATATATATTCAATTTAATGAAATAAATGTCTTTTTTACAAAAAATTTGTATTTTTCTTAAGCAAAAAAATTCGCTCAAGTAAAGACAACAGAGAACTAAAATTGGTAAAACGTTTATTAACTATTTAAAAACGATGAAACAAGGTGAACATGAGATTGATAATTCATAAGTAATATCTTTAAATAGACTATAGAGATGTATAATAGGTGTCTGCAATAGATTTTCCTTTTTTTTTTTTTTTTTTTGTTTCTTTTCATTCATTTTAATACATTCTTTTTGAATGGAAAAAGACACACCATATTACCACGGTTGAATCCTTGGGGGAAGCCTCTGAATGTTAGGCACAATTTAATTTCTTTTTTTTTTGCCACACACGTGATTTCTAACAATATTCAAGCTTAAAAAGTTTCTTTGAATTTATTTTTTTTCCAAAAAACTTGTTCCGATTAGTGATTAAAGAAAGACATGATTGACAAATAATAATTGCACAAACTTAAAAAATTGACAGTGTGTGTGTGTGCACGAGACTTTTCCGTTTTTCGCATTCACTCAAAAAAAAAAAAATCCAGAGTACACAAAACAAAAAACGAAAGAAAAAAAAATTTAACGTGAATTTAAATCACGTCGCAAAAAGGCAACTGTGTACAATGACACTACACGAATTTAGCTTTTATAGCGCACAAATCGCTGATACAAATTATATAATTCCTACTCGGTATCATTTATATATGTATATGTTACAATTAAATCGGCAAACAATCTCGCCACCTTCATCAATCAATCAATCAATAATAATAATAATAATAATAATAATAATAATAATCTTCACCAACGTTCATATCTAAAAATCTATTCAAATTTTTATACCCTTTTGTTTTAAATTACATCGACAAGTACAGTTCATCTGTTTCCATCGGAATTGATCCATATTTTTCTCAAAAATAATTCAAAAATAAATAATGAAAATCATTTATAATTTTAAATAATTATAATTTAAGTTGCTTATAAAAAATTTGTTATTATTTATTTAGAAAATAATGTCTATTATTTAATGAAAAATTGAAAATAAATAATTAATTATATTATTTATTTTTGCGTGAGAAAAACAATGGCTAGTAGTACAAAACAATGACAATTATTTTGACACGATAATTTATAACAAAATTATTCATTAGAAAATGAAACATCATTGATTTTCTTTTTTACCATTCTGGTATTTTTCTCCTGAAGGGGGGTATTCAATTATAATGATTGAAAAATGACTTTTTTTCCTAGAAATACAACCGAGGCCTACGCATAACATTCTTGGCTTACGCTCAAAACGTCTTCGCTACATCTTGATTACAGGCATAGATATTTACAGTAATATTTATCTACTATCATAGCAATTATATAATAATCATTGTAATAATTTAGTAGTAATATTCAAATTACAATAGTGTTTTCTTTTTTTTCATTTTTCTTTTCATCATTTCTCTATATAATGTTGCACATAACCCAATACTGGCTTAGTCATCTAGCTGTACAAAACATTATATATCGCTATATTCTAGCTCTAGGGATTTGTCCTGTGAGGTCTGATAAAGATCGTTAAGTTTACAACATTCGATTATTTTTTTTTAACAATAATCATTGACTGATTATTTTAAAACCATCACGATCTCAAATTCTTTTTTCATCATCGACGTGAGATGAATTATTCTCTTTCCTCTTTTTTTTTCTTTTTTTTTCAATATCGAACTACATTTTCCCCTCCAGTTCAAATTCTTGTTGCATTAAAAATAAACAATTTAATGCAATTAAGTACATACTATGTGTGTGGGTTTTTTTTCGCTAAAATTACAAAGAAAAAATATATCTATATTTCTTTCTGCGAATCAAAGATCGTTTTTAAAATTCATATAAAATAATACGTCAATAATTAATATAATTAAAGACTATTAAAAAAAGTAAAACAAATTTAAAACTTATTCGATTGAAACTTAAAAATAAAATTCACATCTCGAAATGTTTTTCAAGGGGATATTGTACAATTATTTGAATGTTTCGAATTTTTTCTATTCCTTCTTCGATTCGAATTTGTCGTGACAATTTTTTTTTTTCTTTTTTTTTTTTTTGACGAGTCAGAGACAAAGATTTTGACGAGCTTTGCACGCGCGTCTTTTTTCTTTTTAGGACATATTGTGCTACTTAAATTGAGGGAAAAGGCGATAGAGGATTTATTTAATTGTATCATTTTAGGGGGCAATTAATTTTGACTCCTCTGGGGTAATGTCCAAGCGTTTGGATCAGAATGATCCTCGGGGGCAGAACGTCACAGTTGTTGATCTCGACATGGTACCCAAATATTTGGTCCTGATTGTTCCGCAACGACTTCTTTCACTTTCACATAAATATCTTCTGGCGTGTCTCCTTGCACAATTGCTGAAAACATATTTATTTATTTTACAATTCTATTTTCATTTTTCGTTATGTTAAATCATTTTTTAAAAATCTTTCTTCTTTTAATTTATATATTTTGTTACCAGTTAAATATTCTCCAAACTCTTGTTCCATTTTCAATGTTAGTTCATAGTCTTTTTTCGCTTTATCCTCAGTCATTCTCTTATTCATTTCCCTGAAAAGAAAAATTTGCATTGATTTTAAAATTGTAAATTTTACTAAAAAAAAAATTAAAGAAAATTTCATTGAATTTGAAAATAACTTACATTACAGATTCTACGGATTTTGGCTTAATAAGAATGGCGATTGGATAAATTTGTGCAATGTGTAACCTCTTGATAGCATTTCCGCTTACATCAAGAATACAATGTTTACCCTGAAACAAAATGGCAATAATTAATTAATAAATTGTCGATAAGTTTAATTAATCAAAGGAAATCTAAAAAAATTGAATTTTACCTTTTCAGCAACTTCTCGAACAGAAGCGACTGACGTTCCATAAAGATTATCGTTATACTGTCCTGCTTCAATAAATAAATGGTTCTGAATATCCCTTTCCATTTGTTCTCGAGATGCTGCGAAATAATAATCTCTACCATCAACTTCATATTCTCTTTTACTCCTGGTCGTATCTATAAAATCAAAAGCAATAAATGTTGAAAATCATAATTTTTAAAACGAAAAACAATTTACAACTCAAAAATTTGAATAAAAAATTTTCCATTCTTTTATTTATCTATCATTTTTATTACTATTTATCAATACTTTTTTTTATAGTTTAATAAAAAATTTTATATAGTCTCAAAAAACGATTAAAATTTTGATGAACATGATAAATTTAATTAAAGTATTTTAGTAGTGAAACTTACGAGGGACACAGCTGCCGAATTTATCAGGAAATTCAGCAATAAGGTCGTCGCTGATCCGATCCTTGAGAGGTCCCAGGATAATGACAGGACGCATATATTGAATACTAAGTTGTTGAACAGCTTCATATGATAAAACATTCTCTTCACTACCTACATTAACAATAAAATAAAATTGCAAATATGAATAAAAAACTATTTTTTTTCTTTTTTCAAATCAAGACAAAATTTAAACATATTACAAAACGAAAATCTGCATCTTGTTAACATAAAAAGGAAATTCAACTTTTAAAATTTGTTTTAAAGGATTGATCATCTCAAATCAATCTCTATTTACATAAGCTTCAAGGAAAATCGTTGACCACATTCTTCACAGTTTTCTACACAATTTTTCTTTTTTCCCCATAGATTGCCATCAACAGAAATCGAGAAAAAAGGAAAGGAAAAAAAAAATTAATTTCCCATATAAAAAATAGGAGTCAATTTTCAAAGGAGTTAATTTTTTTTTGTTTTTTTTTTTAGAAAAAAACGAATGATTCAAATCGAGTTAAGAAGAAATCTCTTCCGTTCAAGGGTCGATTTCAAAATAACGATTTATACGGAGAGAACGGTTAGAGTCTAGCAAGAGCACAAAAAAGGAGAAAGCAAAAATGCATTCGCGACTGTCTCATCTGCGCGATGCGTCAAGAGCGTATATATGTGTGTAAAAATAAATAGAAAAAAGGGGAACATGATTCGTAAAAAAGAATGACAACTTTTGTAATATTAGTTTCACGGGTCTTTTCACTCCGGTGCACACATTGACTTACTAAGCTCCTCATTATCCTCAACACCCTCCTTTTCCAGATAAACTAAAGTCAGTTCCTCCATATAAGGCAGTTCAACACGATACAAAATTTCTCTACTGCCTGTGGCGGAGGACAAATCTTAAATGAATAAAAAGGAGAAACTCGATGAAAGGCAAACATGATGAACGATGATTGGTTACAATCCATAAATTTAAAACCTTTACAATTTTTTTTCCAAACTCGTCTTGAAAACTCTCAAATTTTTTTATTTATTTATTTTATAAATAACGATTATTTTTGCGATAGTAAAAAACGTAAATTCTTTCATACAATAATAATAATTAATAATGAATCAAAAAATTATTCAGAAGAAAAAAAACGATGATAAATACTTTTTTTAATCAGGTTTTCGTGAAAAAAAGATAAAAGTAAAAGCCCCATGTAGTAAAGAACGGAATAATAAATTCTCCGACAGAAAAAACTGAGTGTGTGGACAAAAATTTAATTATAATTATAATATTATTTTTTCATAATAATGAATATAAAATATGTTGGGTTAAAAGAAGGACGAGAATGTGAATGATAGAAAGAGATGATTACCTTCTGCATTCGTGTCATCCTGGGTGTAGCACAGCATAAATTCTAGAACATAATAAGTTCACATTTCAATATACGTGTGATAAGAAACAACACCTGCTATATGATCAATTTAAGCACTACCACGAATTAGTAGTTATTCAAAATAACAGCGAATTATAATCGCGTGCAAACTAATTGAAAATATTAATGATTTCAACAAGACATTAACAACATTTCTTGCTGATTGCTTTCTTTTTCAATGTAAAACTCCCAAAAGACTTATTTTTTTCAATTAAAGTAAAAATAAATTTTTTTAAATAAAAAATCTTGTCGCTCAGTAAAATTGAGTATTATTAATTTATATTCTATTAATTCATTTCATTTGATACAAACAATTCTGCAATCATAGAAATTGAAAATGAATTTTAAAATATAAATTTTTTATTTATTTTTTTATTTAATAAATATTGTTTGCCTACCGGGGTTATTAAATTATTTATTGATAAAATAAAAATTCAAACGAAATTTTTTCTTGTTTTTTCAATTTTAAATCAAATCGACAGATTTTTTTTAATAAAGAGACAAATTTTAAATTGTATGAGAGTTAAAAAAAAGAATCAAAGCGAATCAGTGAAATTTTGAATTTGAAAACAAACCATTCATATGGAATTTATTATTAAAATAAAGACAAAGGGCTTTAATATCAATTATTAAAGAATATATATATATATATAATCTTGTAACTGAATTCGTGCTCTATTAGAAATCTTTGCTCATGACATAGAAATGAACAATAGACTCATTGTCACGTTCGAGTTTGGAGAAACTCATTGTTGTTGTTATTGTTGTTGTTTTTGTTGAATTACAACTCAAGGGAGGAAGCAGCAAGCCAAGGAGGAAGCAACCGACGACAGCGAAGAATTATTATTACAGGTTACATTAAAATAAGCATATAAATATTAATGGCAAAGAGAGGGTAAACTTTAAAGAGCAAGAAGGATAAGGCATATCATTAGTAATTTTATCCTTAAATATTATGGAAGAATCGTTAAATTTTTTTTAAAATACGTAAAATTAAACAAATATTGAATAGAAATATGAAATGACAAAAAAATAAAACAAAAATAATTGTTTGGAAATACCAAAGGTTGAATGTCCTTTCTGATTTTTCTTGCATCGAGAAAAAAATTTTGCAACAATCTAATTATTTTGTACTTTTATTTTCTTTATTATTTCCATGTTTATTGTTTCTCAATGCAAGATTCCGCGAAATTTAAAGATATCAAACTCTAATTTTGTTAAGATAAATTTTTTTTCAACAGAATACTTACGTGAAGGATCGTTTTCATTCTCAGGTGTTGTGGGCGACCCTACACAAGCAGGCAAAACAAAAACACATGTCACGTATCACATATAAAACACAAAAGCTCATTCGGGATTGACTAGGACCTGGTTCGATTTGTGCTGGATAAATTTCAATTAACGTGAAAAAAGACAAACCCTTAGCTTTTTTTTAAAAAAAGAAATTAATTTAATAAAAACAATTTTAAAAAAGTGGTTTCAATCCACATTTCAATCAAACTTTTGGTGCAAATTATTTTTAAGTGTCAAAACAATGAAATGAGCATGAAATCGAGAATCAGGTCTGTCGTCGATTTAAAAAAAATAAATAAATAAATGGGTTAAAAATAAATTTTTTTCATAATTATTCAAGGCTTTTGGGATCATTAAAAATAATAATTACATTACTAATATAGAAATACAAGACAAAATGAAATTGAATATATATATATATATATATATATATATATATATGTACAGTTAACGATTGATATTTTATGGTACATATATGAGAAAGAGAGAAAGAAAGAGGTAGGGATTGAAAAACAAGTGCAAAATAGAGATGGTGAAACATGTAAACATGATTGCGAACATGCTCCAATCGTGCAGGAGAATTTTTCAAAATATTTTTCCAATACTTACGTTCTTGATCGGAGCCATCCTCAGATTTGTCGTCTTTACTTTTCATGAATGGGAATTTTCTACTGAAGGAAAAGTTTTTCTTTTTCCTATCCAGCGTCGATTGCTGCAATAAGACATTTGAACATTCAATAAAAATTAATGAAAAAAAAATAGAATTATATTCTTTTTAATTATATTTAATTGTCTTAATCGAATTATGTTTTTCAAATTGATAAATAATAATCGTTTAAGTAATTGATGTTTGAGAATATAAAATAAAAAGATGCGGTAAAAAAACTACCTTGTCCATTATGACAGGCATGTGCCCTTGAAACTTGACAGAACGATCGCGAGCTCGTTGTTTGCGTTCCCATCGTCTACGAGAAGGAATGATTCCTAGACCTTCCTCTTCGCCCTGAGGAGTGACTCTCCTAGCTTGCCACCATTCGTCGTCACTGGCATTCGTGACATGAAGAATTTCACCATAACGGAAGGCCAATCCACGGCTTGGCAATCCATCGTCCTTATTTGGATCATAGTCGAACAGAGCTCTGAAAATTTCATTTATAATATTAAAATTCAATTTTTTGTCACCACAAAACACCGAAAATTTTCATTAAATAAAAGTAAAAAAAATTAATTGAACGAAAATAATATTGTTCTATAGAAATTTTTAATAAATATAATTTCTGTTAAATGAAAATTTAGTGAACTGAAGAAACCGAAAAAATTCGATTAATTAGAAGTTCTTTTGAATAAAATTTCGATAATTTGCTGCAATTTTATTTTATTTATATATTTTTTTAAACGAGATAAATATTTTTGTTAACTAATACTAAATACAAAACTTTACTATAACTAAAAATAACAATAAAAAGATAACGAATATTTTACCTGACATAAAGTGACTTTTTCTGTGAGGTCCTCATGAGGGTGCCTGTCATCATATTCTGTTGGGAAATTTGTTGTTTAAGATTGTGGATCTTGGCTTCGAATCTATTGTAATCCTCTGGCTTGTACTGGACTACAATTGTCACTGTTTGGTCTGTTCCCTGGATATTGAAAAAAGAATCTTATACATTTCACACAATAAATTTTGTTTTTAAATATTAATTTTCCTAACAGGTCAGGAGCATTAATCGTCTATATTGCAAATTGTGAAACGTTTTTTTTCTCTATATACATGTATGTGTTAGATTACATAAATTTCACTTGTTGCATACCTACTTGTTGCAGCAAGGTTTTATCTTGATCCATTTATGGCTGTTTTTTTACGATTTATAATTAAAATCATTTCACATTCATTAATATATATTAAATTAATGTTTTATTAATCAATTAAAGCAACAGATTAATTAATTTAAACCATATAGAATTTTTAATATAACTCACAAAATCACTGTGAAAACGATTGTTTTCGTTTTTGAAATTAATAAAATATCAATATAAAAGTAAGTTATTTATAAATGATTATTTATAAGAGATCTAAAATTAGTTTAAAAATGAGTTAATTTTTTATTTTTGTTTAATGAACGTTTCTATTTTTTCTTTTTTTTGGAAACTCCACTGATTGTGTATGCCATGTTCCAGATACGCTTTCGCTTTGTTTAGCGAACGTAGGACGTTTTTTTAGTGAATCGATTGGCCTGAATTTATAAAAAGACCCTTGAGAAATATTTTTAATAGCCTCATTCAGTGAGATAATATTCTTTAACACAAAAGAAGACTGATTACAGTAAAAATTTCAGCAAATATAATAAAAAAATTTGATACTGAAAAAAATATCGTGTTTTTATTTATAGTAAAAAAAAAACTTTTTTAAAAATAATAATTCGCGATTAACACTTTTGGAGCGTTACAAAGGAATAATTGAGCGATAGTGGCTTGATCGACTGAAAGGGTATGTTAATTAGATTTTCTGACTTTACCTTGAGGGCGGCCGCAGCCTCCTCATGGGTGGCGGTCCTGAGGTTGACGCCATTGACGCTAAGAATTTGGTCACCCCGTCGAAGCTCACCACTAAGATCCGCTGGACCGCCGGCTAGGATAAAGGATATGAAAATACCTTCTCCATCTTCTCCACCAACAATATTGAATCCCAATCCTGACGTGCCCTTGTTTAGTGCAACAGTCCTCACCTCTCTGAAACAATTAAAAACAAAATTTAATTTTCACTTTCAAAAAAAGTAACAAAAATAATAATTAAAAAAATTGTTCTGGCTGTGATTAAATAAGTGATTTTTAGAGGTAACATTTTGATGTAGTGTGAGAAGATAAATCATTTAGATAAGACAAGAACAATAGTTGAGATCTGTTATCAGTCACTTTCTCTATAAATGTAAAAGGGGCTTTTGTGGGAAGAGTACGCGAAGAGGGGAGGGGCGGGAGAGATAAAATTAGCATGTTAATTAAGGCTTTCATTGAAATTTGAACTATTCGTAGAGTCCTCTCATGGGCACAAGTCTTGAGGACCCTTGACTCAGATCTGTGTATTAAAGCCTCATGAATTCGTGCAAGTGACAACCCTGTGGGCTTCTCCTGGCAACCCCTATTTTCATCATATACACCATTCACCCTATTTTAGACCACTCTACAGACGCCCTCATTCCTCATCTCTCTTTAACAGAAGACCTCAATGAGTCAACAATTCTTTCCAACAAATTTTAATTTGTTTCCCAAAAAAATTATTTTACTTTTCAAATTCGATCCATTAAATTTACAATTTTGCAATTCAAAAATTCTCCTCTAATTTTTTAAGAAAAACAAAATTTTTTGAAAGAATTATCCTCTTTTTTAAATCATAAAATAAATAAATAAATCATTTTTCTATAAAAAAAATTGTTTTCTATCACATTCAATATTAAAATGAAATCCTTGTTTAAAGGAAAAAAAATTGACGTGTATCAATCATAACACATTGATTTGTTTGCAGACACAAACAGGTTCAAGTGATGCACCAGCGGCAAAATAGTTTCTCTCATTTCGTTTATGCAATATATTTATATAGATAACAAACTGGGGGACTCGATTCCACGCTTAATTGACTACTCAATGTCCGTGACCAGTACTTCCACCTCTTGAACTCATTCCTCCTCCTCCCTTCACGTAATACTCATCATTCAACAGGCTCCCCACCTGTCTTTTCCTTCCTTCTTCCTCTTACACTCGCCTATAAATAACAATTTTATGAATGAATCTATTTTGAAAATTTTATATATACTATATAATAAGTATCGCGCCAGAATCAGAATTATTATTCTCTGACAAGTATAATATATCAAGTTGTATAAAATACATACATATTTCAATATTATTTCTGGGACGAGTTTATGACTAATTAAAATTGCAGGTCATATAGTTTTTTTTAATATTGCCTCTTAATTAAAGTAATTTCATTAGTGTTTTATTGATTAATTTTTTCTCGCATCGTAGGAATATACAACTGTCACTGGGGGAAAAAAATTCATTCAATTAAGTATTGAATTATAAATTAATTACAGTAATTTTAGTCTATTATCAACTAATAAATTAATAATAATAAAAAAAATTAGACACAATATTGTAACAGAATTAGAAACTTCTTTTTTCACAATCAACTCGGAAGAGAAAGTATATATTTGAGTTTTTTTTCCTTCTGTAAGTATGAATGACCAAAAAAAGGGGACAATAAAATATTGTGGTCGAAGTTTAGTACAACTAAACTATGAAACTATCAACAAGTGGCGTGAACAAATAGCTTATAAAATGAGTATTGATCATTTCAAAATAACTTATTTTTTTACAAATCTAAACTTTTATGTATTAATAAATTAAATTGTTAAAGAAATTTATCCATGAATTTTCAATTTTAATCGCACAATATTATAAAATGCATGAAATAAAGATTTTTTTTATCTTTTACTCTAAATGAATATTAATTTCATATAAAAATAAATATTTTAGAATAAAATAAACTTTTTTCCTAACAAAATAAATAATTACAGTAAAAATTTAGTAGAGTCGAATTTCAAGTAGGGAAAACAACGTAATCTGTGGAGAAAAATCAAGATTGTAGTTGAAAAAAAATTAACTTAAAACGCATATTATTTACGGATGCGCAAAACACTTGCGTGAGCAAAAATATATATTTGTATGCAAAATCGTGAACACACCTGTTTTATTTTTGTGACGTAGTTTTAAAAACACAGTTGTCCAACTGTAAAACTATTAAATTATTGGCAGTTGGTAGTCCGGAAATTTAAATTTTTGAACTTTCTGTGTTATTAGGGACACACAAAAATATACCACTATTTTTCTTTTTTTAAAGCACATTAAAAATACTTTTACATATGATCATTTTTTACATTTATAATAATAATAAAAATAAAAAAAAAAAATTCCAAATTTTATACACTTAACAATATTTTTTTGACGAACTAATTTTTTTTGTCGGTTTAAACAGAATGGCGAGATGTATACTGAAGAAAAATATACAACTCGCTTTAAGCACGTCGATGCGATAAAAGGGTTTCTAAGACCATAGCTACGATGACGTCGGGGGCGTAGCGATATGGATAAAAGACTCGGTGGTGGCGGCCGCGCGTCGCCATGCGCTCTCCGACTACACTGGGCCATCATCAGATCGATAGAAATAAGCTGACTCGAATGTTGGCCACCCTGTTATTGTCGAAATTTTCCCGCCACCACTTTTTTTTCTAATGTAAAAAACAATTATTTACCCACTGATAATTCTTTCTTTGACTATATATAAATTAAACAAAAGCTCCATTAATTTGTCTGACCTAACAATTTTTATCACACACGTGAATACATATTCCCAAAAATTAATTTTTTCCATAATTCAATCAAATGGAAATTCCGTCAATTTGATCTAAGTTTATAAATTTGAACAAAATGGATAAATGTAGAAATTTTATTCATTAAAAATTAAAAAAATCAGTTGAAATAAAAATTGTATTTAATGAAAATTTCTTTAAATAAAAATTACGTCAATTATAATGTTTGAATATTATAGTTGTTACTCGGAAATTTTATATTTAAACAACATTTAATTAATTAGCGCTCAATTTTCATTTCATTAAAATTTTCATTTCACTTTAATTTCAACTAGATTTGAAGCGCCTCTTATCTATATTACACACGTGGAAAAAAATAATTACACTTTAGTGGTTAAATATTCTACCACCAGCTTAAAACGTTATCAAATACCTACAAACGATCGAAAAGTTTTTTTTCGCTGTCACAGCAAATAAAATTAAAATTATCCCAGTGAATTTTTTTATGTTCACTGGAGTTATTTTTTATTTAAAAAATGTTAGTTCCAAATTTTTAACTTGACAGTTGTTTTATTATTATTATTATTATTATTATTATTAATAATTGTATTTATATTAATTTTATTATTATTAATATTACGTAACAAATTTTATTTGTTCTGTTGCAAATATTGATATTTCTTTACTTTTTCATCGGATTACATATAAGAAAACCATGACCATGAATCTCAGGATCTAATATCTTGTTATTTGATTCCTTCTCCCTTGATATGTATTTGTTTTATGAGTACTTTCTTTACCAATAAATGTTTATTGCAAATAGCAAAAAAGAGATGAAAGAATTAAATAATAAAAAATAAAAATTATAAATAATTTAATCCTTTAAAAATTGAGACTTATTATGTATGTATTCTATTAAGTCATTATCGGAAAAAGTCAAATAAAGGTCGGTGAATATGGAATTAAGGATCCAATATCACGATATTTGATATAACATCTATCTTTTGATAGATTTATTTTATGGGCGCCGCCTTTGTCAACGCAATTCAGTCTCGCAAACAATAGCCAAGTGAACATATATATATATATATAGGTCTGTCTAACCTTTCTTCCTAATGAATGTAGATAAGCAAAGTTTAACAAAATGTCACTTTCTTTGAAGGTTTAGTTTTATATCACGTCCAAAAGTTTTCTTTTATCAGTTAAACTATTTATAGATTTATCTACCTTATTTTCTTAATTAATATTAAATTAAATTAGAATCATTTTATTCTATACAAAAAAATAGCTAATTACAGACTACTTTTTTTCTAGTTCACTATAAATTGAATTATTAAATAAACAATTATATAAGCCGGGAATAAATTTCAGTTGAATTATTTGAGAAAATACGAAGCACAATTGAGAAGTGAAGAGGGCAATGTTTCCCTTAAAGGGTTAGAGTTACCTCCCGTGTGAGAGAGAAAAGTGTGTGCGGTTTTAACGGGTATGAGGTGGGTATGAGATTAGCCAGTGGTTGGCTGATGGAAGAGGCAGGAAAAGACTACTGCTTCTGTACTATAGCGAATGCAAAACGAGCGAGACTCAGATATCCGGATGGTCTACCCTTTTCGAGTAACGACCGTGAGAGTTTGACTCATTCACGTAATTTCATCCGATATATAAAACTCACTGGCTCTTAATTAATGTCTTGCAGAAAAAATGTGTGCCTTTAATTAAAAAAAAAACTCGCAATTTCCTTTTTTTACATCAAAGCAAACAAAAAAATTCTATTGACTTTTTGTTTATTCAATAAAAAATAATTTAAAAATATCAACAATAAATTCTAATTTTATACTACAATATTCATTGGAGAACAGTTTTTGAATGTTTTTGAAATATAAAAATTTTTAAATTAAAGAATATTGATACGAATTTTTCTCGGCATAAAATACACTAATTAAAAATGTAGATAAACTTGAATAATTGTGAATTTATATTTGAAGACGTGTCCCCGCAAAATGCAAATTTAATTGCAAAACGCCGTGCATTGTAACAGAAAACCGCAAAAGTATTTACACAGTTTACAAAACACGTTTTCAGTTAACCGCCTTGATACGGTTCCTGCTTCAATAAGGAACCAGATGTTTGAAAATTATTATCGTTACCATTCATTGATTGATTTTAATATTACTCGATTATAAATATGTACAAAAAAATGCAATGTATCGAACAAATTTGGAACAAAAAATGATTTTCATACTACAATATGATTTTTTTAGCACATCGCATTGTTTGAAGATACTTGGCACTATTTCCAGTGTTTCTATAGGTCCTCGAAGATGGAGGTCACTGGCAGTAAAAAAAAGCTAGACAAGCTACATGATT